GTACGTGGCCCTGCTGCAGCGCAGCCATGGGGACCGTCCCCGCAGGAAGAGGTTCAGCCAGAACTTTCAAGGTGAGCCTTCCTCTGTGCCGTGCCCATTTTGGCAGTGTCAGGGGGCCATTGCTCTGGGGTGGGGGAGGCTGTGGTAAGGAGGGACTATGGCCTGTGAGGGTGGTGGGCCTGGGTCTCTGGGTTCTGGTGGTGCAGTGAGGGAATCAGACACAGAAACCAGGAGAAGGCGGGTGTGGCAAAGACCTGCTTCCCACGGGGGCTGGGATGCAGGTGGGATTTCTTGGGGTCGGCATCAGGAACAGCAGACGGACCACTGCAGGAGTGAGTGTGGGGAGAGGCGTCCTTGGGTGACCGAAAATGGGGAAGCAGGAGAGCAAGGACTCCAGCAGCCAGGTGCAGCTGGCCTGGGTCCTAGGCAGCTTCTCATTCTGAGTGCAGAGCCTGACCAAGGCCATCCTACTCTCCTGCCAGGTCTGGGCCTAGGGGGATTGGGCTATGCCCTACACCAGGAGCTGAGGTAACTACTGAAGGCAATGTGGCTGGCCAGTCAGGTGGCCACACTGCCAATCTGGAGCCTCAGGTGCTAGAGGGCTGTGGCACAAGTCCCCATCATTTGTCTCAGTGCTCACCCTGCCACAGTTGTTTATTGGCCCATGTTCCTCCTTTTGGGGATATTTCTCTGAGCCAGAGTTCCCTCATCAGAGAGAGACTTGAAAGTCTGCCCCTTAAGAAAGCTCGCGTTCCCATGTTCCAGGTTCTCTACTGCCATTCCTCTCCTTCCTCTCCCATTTTGTCTAGCTCCCTTCCCTAAAGAAACGGTCTTTATTCTGCTCTTGATCCCCAACCCTCTGCACAGGGTCCCAAAGCTGCCACCTGTGCACATATGGTGGAGCTTGCTAATGAAGTCCCATCCCACATGACAGTTTTAGGACAACAGGACCTGGCTGCACATTTTTAAATTGAGGGATAGGGAGGGCTGCTCCTTTCTCTTCTGGCCCACCAATTTCCTGTCCTCATGGTCTCCATGTGGATTACGGGGATATCTTGATCATTGGGTCAGGGCCCTGCCACCCTGTAGCTCTCACAGTCCTTGAGAGGCCCAGCTGACCCTGCTTTGTCCCCAGAGGTGGCGGGCAGGTTCCTGGTGTCCGAGGTGTCCACACACCTGCTGGTGTTCGGCATGGAGCAGCGGCTGCCGCCCAACAGCGAGCTGGTGCAGGCGGTGCTGCGGCTCTTCCAGCAGCCGCTTCCCAGGGCCGCGCTCCGCAGGCTGGAGCGCAGCGCCCGGGCGCAGGTCACCATCGAGTGGCTGCGCGTCCGCGACGACGGCTCCAACCGCACGTCCCTCATCGACTCCAGGTGGGGGTCGCGGCGGGGCGTGGGGGGCGGGGGCGGGGCGCACGGGCTCCCCGGGGCCCCCGCAGCCCCGCCAGCCCCCAGCCCTCACTCCCGATGGGCTGTGTCCCAGGCTGGTGTCGGTGCACGAGAGCGGCTGGAAGGCGTTCGACGTGACCGAGGCCGTGAACTTCTGGCAGCAGCTGAGCCGGCCCCGGCAGCCGCTGCTGCTGCAGGTGTCGGTGCAGAGCGAGCACCTGGGCCCCGGGGCCTCGGGCGCGCACAGGCTGGTGCGCTTCGCCGCGCAGGGGACGGCGGGCGCCGCGCGGGGCGAGCCGCAGCTGGAGCTGCACACGCTGGACCTCAAGGACTACGGGTAGGCGCCGGGGGTCAAACCGATGGGCCCCAACAGAGGGGCGCATAGGGAATTCCACTTATTTTAGAATGACGACTTCTTTTAGAGCGGGTCGGAACGAATGAGAACATTTTTAAAGCTTTTCCTGACTCATAGAAGGTCCTCAGTAAATACCAGTTATTTAGCTTTTAGGTATGTTTAGCTACCCATCCTCTAACACAAAAATCCAGCTTTTCTTTCTTTTCTTCCTTCCTCTCCCCCTCTCTCTCTCACTCTCTGCTTTCTTCTCCTCTCCTTCTCTCTTTCTCTCCTGCCGTGCTGGCCATTGAACCCAGGATACCTGGGGCTTCAAGCATGCCAGGCAAGCTCAAACCTCCCCCCACCAGCCCCACATCCAGCTTTGAACACACTGAGAAGGGGGCTCTTAAGTCTCCCTCCCAGATGCTCCTGACCTCTGCCTTCTAGTTGACCTCTGACCTGTCTCTCCTTGCCCCCACAGAGCTCAAGGCAATTGTGACCCTGAGGCACCAGTGACTAAGGACACCCGCTGCTGCCGCCAGGAGATGTACCTGGACCTGCAGGGGGTGAAGTGGGCGGAGAACTGGGTCCTGGAGCCCCCGGGCTTCCTGGCCTATGAGTGTGTGGGCAGCTGCCTGCAGCCCCCAGAGCCCCTGACCTTCCAGTGGACGTTCCTGGGGCCTCGGCAGTGCATCGCCTCAGAGACTGCCTCACTGCCCATGATCGTCACTATCAAGGAGGGAGGCAGGACCAGGCCCCAGGTGGTCAGCCTGCCCAACATGAGGGTGCAGAAGTGCAGCTGTGCCTCGGATGGGGCACCTGTGCCCAGGGGCCTGGAGCCCTAGGCCCTGTGTGGCCACTAAGGGACTTGGCTAGTATGTGTGTCTGAAATGTTCTAGCACCAGGAGAGATGGGGATTACGGAATCTCTGTCAGGTTGGGCTAAGTCTCTGCTCTCTCCTCAGCTCTGGATTTGCTTCCTCTGACACACAGCTCACCCCCTAAATTTCACTTCTCAGGAATGAACCTTCCTGGCTGCTGGGTTGCCCCTGACCAGGCTTCTGTGACCTTCATTCGGCTCACTGCACTATGTCCTAAGCACTTATGTGTGGATACTGTAATCTAAGGGCTGAGACCCGAATTTGTCTTTGTTTTCTTGTCCTTCACTAGATCTGGGCTGAGCGCCAGTCTGGTCTCTGGGCCTAAGACCTGGGTTCAAGTGTGAATTGAATGTCCCTAACTTAGATAATAAGGACTTTGCAAGACACTAATACAACACGTTTTATTCCGTAATCCTGTTTTTCTTATTTTAACCACAGCTCTGCAATTGTGGTGGGAGCAGAAAGTTTACAGGGGTTAAGTCAATTTGACAGAGGACTAAGGAAAAAGCTTGACTTCACTCAGAACTTGGTCAAGGTCTTCAGACTGGATGCACTTACATCCTAGCATCTGTGGTGCCTGTTTCTCAGACTTGAGACAGCAGTCTTCTCTTTGTTATTGACATTTTGACTTTTCTGGGTTTTATTTCAACTCCAGTTTCTTTAAAAGTCTGTTATGAAAATTGTCATCGACACTAGAAGGATGTGGGTCACTCCGTTAAATTTCCAGCAGTTCACGACGTGGGATATATTTTAGAAGCTTGCCAAGATTAGAGCCTTTTAAGCTGTTGCTTTTATGTGGGGGTCTCAGCCTGGGGCACAGGCATCTTAGGTTCTCTGTCAGCGTCCCCAGCTCTCATTAGATGGAAATTTCACATCCTCTGGTTAAGTAAGAACAATTTCCAATGTCCACACTTTTGGTTTAAGGAAGCAAGCACTCCACACACTGACAGAACAAGAGCTGTGACTACCCCTGCTCACATCTGATCCATCAGGGCCTTTTCTTGGTTTTGAGGTAACCGTAACCTACTGAAGAACAAACTTAGAAAGACTTCCCCTCTCTGGAACCAAAGATTCTAACTTTCTTTTCTTTTTGTCCGTGGCTGAATCCATGCATTTGGGCCCCAGGGCCAGGCCTTGCAGGTGGAGCACAGTCCACAGAGGCAGGGATGAGAGCAGGCAGGTGGCAGGCTGAGGAGCCGGGAGGACAGCCAGGGAGCTGGGGAGTCAGGGGTGGGGTGCTTGGCAACAGCAGGTAGAAGAACAGGAAGGGATGTTGCCAGGTAGAGCTAAAGACAGAAAGACAGACAGACAGGGCAGAATTGTTTAAGTGGTAGCAAGTGTCTAGGAAGTGTGAGGCCTTGAGTTCAAACCCTAGAACAGCAAAAATAAAATAAAATAAAATAAATAGATAATAAATTAAAAAAAATTGTAAAGCGGGCGCGGCGGGAGGTGGGGGGCCCGAGGACACCTCTGGGAAATAACTAGTAGCCAGGAGCTTCAGGGAAAAGAAGGCAGAAGCAGATGGGCCAGAAGAGAAGTGCGAAAGAGGCGCCCCCACCACGGGCAGCGAGGGCTGGTGCCAGAAGCAGGACAGGCAGGTTAGGAGGATATTTTTATCCTTCCAGAAAAGATGGAAGTCCAGACGTGGAGGAGGGGTTGGAGGACCCGCGGGGCTGTGCCTGGTGGAGTGATGGAAGGACCCGCGCGCGCTGCTCCTGCACCCGCCTTGTCCCCAGCGCGGGTCCTGTCCTCGTGCAGTCGCCGAGGCCGTGGGCTCGTTGGACGCCCCGGCTCCATGGCAGCCTGGGGACACGCTGCGCACCCGGCGAGCTGGGCTGGAGTTGGCGCCGGGGGCTTGGTCCCACCCAAGGAGGGAGGATTTGCTGCGACCTTGTTTGGGCGGAACCGAGACCTCCCCCACCCCCCAGAACGCGCTCCTCACCGCGGCGCGAGAGCCTGGCCTTTCTCAGGGGCGCCGCGAGGTCGCAGATGCCTGGACGACGGGTCCCCGGGCTGCCACCGCACGCCCCCTGCCCTGGGTGACCCCGAGATGTAGTCGGGGGAAATCCGAGGCAGAATGGGGCGGACACGAACATTTGCAGACGCTCTCCGCGCGGCGCGACCACCCGGTGGGGGCTCCGGGCTCCCCGGGTGTCACTCGACGGGACGGTGCTGGGGACCCGGGAAAGTCAGCGCGTCTTCCTCATGGCGTTGGGCGCGAGCTGGCCGGGCCGGAGCTGGCAGATGTCGGCGAGGAGCCGGAGGCCGAGCGGCCACGGCGGCCAGGAGGGGTGGAGGAGCGCGGGAGTCCCCGCCGGCGCCCGCGCAGGTGAAGCCTCCAAATTGGGCAAAGCGCGGGCGCCGCTCTGCGCATGTGCGGGAGGCGTCGGAGTTTCACTTTGTAACTTTTAAGTGGTCGGGACGCCGCCCCGCCAGGCCAGGTGCCGCCAAACCCTTGCCCCGCGCCGCGCCGCCGCGCCAGCGCCGCAGGTAAAGTGGGAAGGGGGCGCCGGGGAGGGGAGGGAAGGTCGCCCCCGACCCCTCCCGGGACGCGCGCGACCGCGGTCCACGCCGGCGGCCACCAGGGTCCGCTCCCAGGCGACTCCGGCCTCCGTGGCTCCAGCCCCGGACAGGGGTGACCGGCCGGGTAGGGGAGGGGACAGCGCCAAGCGAGGGGACCCTGCGCCCCGGGCCGGCCCTGAGCTCCCTGACTTCCTGACAGCGATTCCAGCCTTGCCAGCGATCCTCCCCTCCTCCACTGTCCTCTGGCTTTGGAATTCCCTCCCGGCCTAACTGGGAGGGCAGCCTCGGGGCTCTTTCTCCTTCAACTCTGTGAGGCCAGGGAGCGAAAGGGCCACAGGTCCCTGTGAGCGGAACCAGGCTGTCCCAGGTGACACTTTCTGCTGACCTGGCAGCGTCTTGTAGACCCAGGCTAGGAACTTGGGGAGGGAGGAGGAGGGAGAGCAGAGAGAGCAAAGAAACCAAATCCAGCAAGTTTCCAGTACCTGATAAGACCAGCTACCTGAGACCCTGGGGTGGCCGCTGGCTTTCAGCCCCTAGTGGTGTCCTCATAGTCGGGGGTTGACAGCCATTATGGATCAAGTGACCCCTGAGTTTCCTTCCAGTATTGAAATTCTGGCTGTGCCCTGTGCCTGCACTGTTGCTGGGTTAAGCAGATGACTGGATTTACTGGGCCAGGCCCAGTGGGTGCCAGGCACTGTGGGAGGAATCTCGGGGGCCTTTCTGCTACTGAGATTGTGTTGCCCACCCACTGGGGACAAGAAACAGGTCACTTGTTAGTGGAGAAACAACCCTTATTTCCCTCTGCCTGCCTCCATTGTCTTCCTCTTTCCCCCTCCCATGGGACACCTGTCAAGCATCCTCAAGTCTACTCTGCCTTAAGGTGTCTAAGAACAGACGCTGAGGCCTCCTTGCCTCCTTCGGTTAGTGTTGGAAGAAACTTCTCCCCTGCCCATCCATCTGGGTCTAGGAGGGAGGACATCAGGCCAGCAGTGGGTGAATGATGGCGATCATGTCTTTGACAAGTTTGAGGCCAGCCCTTGTACTCAGCCCTGTCACACTGGTCACAGCCAGGCTCTTGGGTGCTCAGGGGCAGGCCTTTGGGTTCTGAGGTCACCTGTTCACCCTAGTTCCTGCCTCAGCAGTGATTCCTGGCTTTCCTACTGTAGGGCAAGTGGTGGGAATGAGGCAATGAGTGACGGGCTAGGCATCCCATCTGCACACCCACCAAATGTGGAATGGAGGCTGCCAAGGATGCATGTCTGACAGGGCTTCTGCAGCCAGTGTGATTATTTGCCATTTTTTTAAAATGGTTTTCCTTTCCTCATTTTTGTGGTGCTGGGCCTTGCACATGTAGGCAGGCACTCTACCACTGAGCCACACCCCCAGCCCATAGATGGTGGTTTGGTTCCTTCCCCATCAGTGTGGGCTGTCCCACCCCAGCCTCTCAGCTGGCATGGCTGCCCTAGTGTGGTGTGTTCCCCACTGATCTCTCAGAGGGACGTACAGAGGGCGGTTCCCTGAGAGCTGAGGCCTGTTTCAGGGTGGTCTGACGACTTCCTGCTTCTAATGGCAGAGAGGGACAGGCCACCTGTGACTGGGCTGGAAGGTCTGAGAGACCTGCACAGCTGTGCCCTCACCAGGGTCATGCAGGACAGGCCCCTTGGTTGAGGAGACCCTAAGACTGGGCCTAACTTCCTGCCCAGGCTGGGGGATTTGCTGGCTGACCTCTCTTAGTTCTTGTCCACCCCCGAGCCTGTTTGGCAGGAGGGAAATGAGCTAGAGGTATGCCTGGGGCTGCAAGGGGCAGAGGAGCCCAGACACATCCCTTCCATTAAGGCCTCTGCCTCTCCAGGACCCTGGCACAAAGCATCCCCTTCCCCACATCCCGTCCTCCACACTGCAGCACCACCAGGGTCCAGGCCCCTCCCTGGGACAGTGCTTCCTCTGAGCACTGTATGCCAGTGCTTTCCCTCCCCACTGTACTTTTCCAGCCTGCCTTGTTTATTTTGCTGCGTTCCTTCTCCTGAGTCTTTCCCTTTGAGCTGTGGACACCAAAGGCCTCACAGTGTCAGGCTGGGGTATTCTGCTGGGGGGGGGTACCCCTGGGTGGGGTTTAAAGGAGAGAAACAGAAATATCTGGTCCCAGACATGGCTTTTGTGGCTCTGTTCATAGTCACCAAGCCTCACAAGCACCATGGCATCCAGCCACTGCTATAACTCCTGAGGGGTGACAAAGGTGACTTGGCTTCTGGGTACTCCTTTCATGCTTGTGGGCCTAACCCCCACCCATTCTTTCTTTACTTCCTGTCATACATGTGTGCACACATGTATGCATGAACATGCGTGTGCATGTGTGTATAGGCATGTGGGCTCCAGCACAGCCATCCCGGGACTCAGAATTGGGATCATGCCCAACACACACACACACACACACACACACACTCTCCACCAGCACTCTCAGGAAGGCCAAACATACATCCGTTGGGATTCTGCACAGCTTTTCTTCTTGTCCTAAGATTTTGGTCCATCTAACAGGTAGACCAGACTGCAAAGTCCCCTGGGAATTCTTGTTTAACCAGACTTGGAGATGTGCGAGCTAAAGGAAGGGCACTGAGCACGTCTGACTCACTAGCCAGAGACAGGGTAAAAGGCAGGCAGGAACCTGGACACTAAATTCCTCGGCCTCCAGTGCCAGAGGACAGACTGATTTCCTCCCCTTCTCTTGGTGCCAGGCGCCTCTGGGAAGAAAGGTCAGCAGCCCCCCTGGAGCAGAGTTTTCCTTGGGCATGTTGAGTGTTCCTTTACAGGAAACAGTATGAGGAGCAAGGTGAGAGGGCAGAGCTGGGGACATTCAGAAGCCCAGAGTCCCCTCTCTGCTGTCTTCTCCTCTCTGGCTGCCCTTTCTCCTCCTTTGGACCTCTCAGTGAATAGCTGTGTCAGCAGTCAGCAAGAGAGGCAAGAGAGATGGTGTCTGTGAGTCAGGAGGCTGGTGGGAAATTCAGTCCTCCCCACCCTGCTTCTTGGTCTGGGGAGGTTGTTGAACCTCTGACCTTGGATTCCAAGTTTGCTAAGTGGACATGAGGTCTGTGCCATCCTGCACCCTCGGCTGTTCCCTTCTTCCCAGTTGCCTGCCCCTGTGCCTCTGTGGCTCCTACCCCTCTCCCCTGCCTCCACCCTGATCTTCTGGTGGCTCCCCCAGGAGTTATTATGCTAGCAGAGGTCCTTGAGGCTGGAGGAACTTTAGTTCCCCCCCCACCCCTCCCTCTGGAGCATCTGCCTGCTGTGTCCTGGAAGAGCCAGTCACTTGGACCATCTGACCCTGGGGCTGTTCCCACAATGCAGCCATTCTCTGTGAACTCTGCCAGGCACACAGGGGTCCAGTGTCCAGCACTCCTGATTCCCTGCTGCTGGCTCCTTGAGCACCAGCAGCCCCTGGAGTGACACCCACCTTTGGCTCTGCCAGCACTGGTCAGGCAAACAGTGGGGAATTCGCACCCTGACTGCCTGCCTTGTCCCATTCCCAGGGTGAGCAGGCATGATGACTGACTCTCCATTCCTGGAGCTGTGGCAGTTGAAGTCTGTGTCCATTCGAGAGCAGCTGGGCCTTGGGGACCAGCCCAATGACTCCTACTGCTACAACTCTGCCAAAAACAGCACCGTGCTCCAGGGGGTCACCTTCGGCGGCATCCCTACTGTCCTGCTCATAGACGTCAGCTGCTTTCTGGTGAGATCCCTTGAACATGTCCCTTCCCAGCTGTGCTTAATCCCCTCAGGGCCTTCTGGGAAGCTCAGGTGAGGAGTCAGACACACACACCTGTGTGTCTTCTGTGACCTTGGGCGTGTGATGTAGCTTGTTTGGGCCTCAGATCACTGAGGTTTGGAGATACTGTCACAATTCCTCACTGAGAGAATTTCCAGGGGCTTGGGTTAAGGCCGTGTAGATAAAGGACACAGCTGCTGTGAAACTGTGACCCTGAGCTGCCAGCCTGCCATGTCTCCTTGGCCCTTGGGAAGGTGAGAGTTGTGAATGGGGGGTGTGGACTGAGGTTAGTTTATAAGGTCACTTCCTGTTTGCCTCTGGGATTCCTGGGGCTGATTGTGAGAGCTGGTCCCCTGCTTGTGGCCTTTCTTAATGTCACCTCCTTGCTCGGGAGGATCCTGCAGTTTGAAACGCTTCATTGCTCTTCCTTGCAGTGACTCAACAGTGGCTGCTCAAGGTTTTTCCTTGAGTGTGGTTGTGGGGAGGAGCCCAGGGCCTTGTGTCTGCTAGGCAGGCGCTCCTCCACTGAGTCACACCTCAGCCCATCTAGCTCAGATTTACTGGGGCTAATGAGCATCTTCACAAACACCCACAGATGGGTCCTTTCTGATGGGGCTCCTTCTATATGGCAGAGACTGCGGAAAGATGGGGGAGCAGTAGACATCCTGGGTCTGCTTGGGGCTGAGGCTGTAGAGCTGGGAGTGAGGTACTCAAGGGCCCCAGTCCCAAACCCGTTTGCTGGCCCTACACTTGGTCTCAGGGAGGGAGTTTTCCTCTTTCTACTTTTTGTTCCTGGAGCAAGGTCTCCACTGTTGCCTTTGAGATTGCTGCATTATCTGCTGGCAGTCAGACCTCCCATGGTAATGCCTGGCTTGCATGGAAAAAGGGCTCTCCAAGCACCAAGTAACCATTCTCAGAGCCAAGACTGGTCCGCATGTGGAGAGCACTACAGGTCTTGGCTGACAGGGAGGCAGTGGATTTGACAGCCTGTGGGGACAGTGGAAAGGGAAGCCCTGGGTCTTCAGGTGGAGAGAGCATGGCCAAGGTGAGGAATCTGCAGAGGGGGCCTTGGCAGAGACTCCTGGTGGGCTGGGTACCCTGGTTGGGAAGAAAGTCACTCCCTACTGTTGTGCTGATGGGGTAGATTTTTTTTTTTTTCCCAAAAATTGACAGGGTCTTACCATGCTGCCCAGGCTGGTGGTCTCTGAACTCCTGGACTCAAATGCTGTTAGAAATGTCGTTCCCAAACATTGATCAAGGAAACACTTGGGAGTGGCTCAGCAAGACAAAAAGAAAAGTTTTACTTCTGCAGAAGGGTGCATCCACAGGCCATAGTCTGATAGGCAGAACACGCTGATAGTGGAGTTAGCTCAGTTTTTATCTCTTTGCCCCTCACCCTGGTGGACTGGTTTGGTTGCTTAGAAAAGGGGGCACGTGGGGTAAGGGGGGCCTTGAAGCAGAAAGAAGAAGAAAATTCTTTTTGGGCAATATTCACCTTTAAGCAAGCAGTTTGAAATTAGGACATCTGGTGATAAACGGCTCTTTGTTTGACTGCAGGAACCTTGCAAGGGCAAGCAACGTTTCACCAGGCCATGTGGGCAGCGATTGGGGAGGTCAGCTGGCATCTACACAGTGACAGTTATACATTAACTCCTTTGACAGAAAAGACCCAACTTTAGTTGATCCTCTCACTGCCTCAGCCACCCAAGTAGACTACAGGTGTACGCCCCCGTGTGTGTGTGTGTCTGTGTGTGTGTGTGGTGTGTGTGGTGTGTGTGTGTGTGTGGTGTGTGTGTGGTGTGTGTGTCTGTCTGTGTGTCTGTGTGTCTGTGTGGTGTATGTGTGTGGTGTGTGTGTGTGGTGTGTGTGTCTGTGTGTGGTGTGTGTGTGTCTGTGTGTCTGTGTGTCTGTGTGTGGTGTATGTGTGTGGTGTGTGTGTGTGGTGTGTGTCTGTGTGTCTGTGTGTCTGTGTGTGCTGGGGATGGAACCAGGGCTTCACACGTGCTAAGTGCACACTGCATCACTAGCTACACCCCCACCTCTGGATGCGAATTTACTGCAGGAACTTATGGGGGTGAATGGGGATCACCTCACAACCAGAGGGGCCTGGCAGCAAGGATGTAGGGTCACATCCAGTCTGTACATACTGAGACCAGGGAAGATGGCAGCCACGGACAGAGGGCACCGATGAGGGGCCTGGAGTTTATTCTTCACGACTCACCGACCTCACTTCTACCTCATCTTGAGAAATCCCATGGGAACTCAGGGCCCCTGGGTTGGTTCAGGTCCTCTGGGTCCCCTTCAGGAGAACAACACCCACTTTTAAAACCCCTGGTTCCGGGCTGGAGTGGGGCTCAGTCGTAGAGTGCTTACTTAGCATGTCGAGGGACCTGGGTTCACTTGCAGCATCCAAAATGATTAAAACAATAAAAAAGAAAATAAATAAGATCCCAGTTCCAACCTGAGCAGGCAAGGCTTGCTAACTGAGGCTTCCCTCTCCCCGTCCCGAATCTCGGAGAGAGGAGCTGGGGGTCAGAGCCGCCAGCGTCGATGTGAAGGGTGTAAAGTGGCAGTCAGAATTCACAGGTGTCCTCTTTGGCTGCTGGGGGGCAATGTGGGCCTGTCCATCAGTGCAGGCGCTGGTGCCTCCTGGGTTTGCTCTACCCATGGTCTGTGTGGGCCCTGCAGCTTCACCTTCAGGAGAACCAGACTTGAAGTAAGATTCTGGGCATCTCTGGCCCAGCTGGGCCGCGGTTCTGTGATTGAACATATGAGTTTAAAGCTCGGCATGGTGGCGTGCCTGTAGTCATAGCTACTGGGAGGCTGAGGGCAGAGGATCTCTTGAGCCCAGGAGTTCAACAGTAACTTATTGATCCGTCCCTAAAAGAGACTCTCTGTAAAGAAAGGGAACAAGTTCTAGGCTCTGTGAGTCCAGACCTTGCCTTCCTGATCGGGACCTTTAGAGCAGGTCAGGCTGGGACCAGGGCCTTGTGGTGTCAGTGATGCCTGAGAGCAGAGGGCCGACTGGGGTGCTGGACTGTGAGGCTGCCACCAAGCCTGGCTCCAGGCTGGTGGGCTTGATGACTTGGACACAGGTTAGCGAAGCTTTGGGGCTCTGAGCTGAGGCCTTGGAAACTTTGGTGCCTCTCTGGGCCTGGATGATTTCCTTCTAACCCTGTAAAGGCATCCAGTGTGCTATTTTCTTTTTTGAAATTTTATCATTTTTACATTTACTTACATGTGTATACATTATTTGGGCCACCTCCCCTTCCCCCTCCTCTCCCTTTTGGGTCTCCACCACTTTCCCTCTCCCACCCCTCCCCTCCCCTCCCCCCTCCTCTCCCCTTCCAGTCTCCTCCACCTCCTCTCCCTCCACCCCCCCTCCCTTCTCTCCCCCCCTTAATTGGTTTCTTTTCTACTTTTAGCTACTAATCTTGGTGTTTTCCATCATAAGAAGAAGATTCTGGGATTATGGGCGCATTGCCCTGGTGTCAGAAGCAGACAGGTAAAAAACCATCTCACCTAGACTGTGTGTGTGTGTGCATGAGGGTTTTGTGTGTACATGTATGTGTGCATGTATATGTCGATATGCCTGTGGACATATACACGTGTGTGCATGTGTATGTGTGAATGTGTATGTTTGTGTGTGTACGAGTATGTGCACACGTATGTATGCATGTATGTATGTGCACCCGTGTGTAAGTGCACACACATGCATGTGTGTATCTGTATAGATGTATGTTGATCTGTGTGTACACATGTGTGTGCATGTGTGTATTTCTGCATGCATGTGTACAAATATATGCACATGTATATGTGTGTGCATATCCATGTGCCTGTAAGTATACATGTGTGTATGTATATACATACACACGTGCATGTGTTTGTGCATATATATGTCCATGTGCTATGTGCACACGTGTATATGTATGTACATGTGTGCATAGGGTGTGCATGTGTGTATATACATCTGGGGGTGTCTGCATGTATGTCTGTGTATATGCATGCATGTGTATACGTGTGGGTGTGCAGACATGTGTGTGTACACATGCACACGTGTTCGCATGAGCACAAGCACATGTGTGTGTCTTTGGAGCCAGCAGCACCCACATGTGATGCTGATGTCAGGTCATGTTTTCTGAGTGTCTGCCAGGCCTGTACCAAAGCCGTGTTCCCTGCTCGTTACCACAGACCCACCAGGGCCTTGCCACACAGGATCTGTGCTCACAGGAAGCCACAGCTCAGGGGCCCCCTCTCCTGGGACTGGGCTGGGACAGGAAGTGGTCGGCCTCTGGCTGTGCAGGAACTCGCTGCCTTCAGGGCTCTTGTCATTGGCTGAGAGGGAGTCCATCTGCTTTCTTTCTCACCCTGCATATTTTTAGGGTACAGTCTTTGAAACTGACTAGCTTGGACCAGGCTGACTGAGCAAAGCTGTCGGGAAGCTGCCTGCCCTGCTTCTGTGTCAAGGCCAGCTTTGGATGAGCCTGTTTCAGAACCCAGGCCCCAGGATGAGCCCGTTTCAGAACACGGGCCCCAGCCAGGCTTCAGGCCCTTGCGGTTCCACCAGGGCTGCACATCTCTGAACACCTCATTTGAAGGGTGGAGATAATTCTAGAACTGGACTGTCCAGCTGTAGCTGGCTGCTACATGCCTTGGATCCGTGTCAGGTGCAGCAGCAGCCACCCAGAGTCTCCTGTGTCCACTCTCAGGCTCAGATTGATGTGAGGGCTGGAGGGAGGGCGTCTTCTTTCTGCGTGTGCACCTTCGTTCCCACATCTCTGCTCTGGCATCTGCACAAGCCAAGACAATGACCTTGGACTACCAGGTAGAAGCTTGTGGGATATGTGATGCCTTCACAGAGAGGGGCTGTGTGTACAGTAGGAAAGAACATGAGGAAAGAACACTTGCCCATGTGATCCTGGGCAAGTCCCCAGGCTGACTGGTGTCTGTCTCCTGTCCTGTCTTCCCCAGTGTGGCTGTGAGGTCAGATGACACAGTGTCTGTGTCAGTGCTTTGAAAGTTAAGTTTCATAATAACTTACAGTGCTGGCAGTGGGACGAGAGGCCAGGAGTAGGGAGAAGCAGAAGTTCCCATCTTGCAGGCACCTCCCATCCAGAGCACACAGGGTGTTTTATGGGGGACTCAGAAGAAAGACTCAGTTGAAATGCCTCACTATAAAACATCCTTGTCCATCAGCTCTGAACCGGACTGTCCAGCTGTAGCTCTGATCTCCAGAGTTTGGGTGATCTTACTATTAGGGGGTCACAGTTTAATTGGTAGCATAAATCGTTGTACACCTGACAGCCAGTTGTGGCTTAGATTTGATAAAATGCAGCGTTGTTTTTAAAGTGGCCCCCTTCCAGTGCCAAGGCCTTGAGAGAAGCTTGTATTCTCACTTCTCCTCGCTACCTCCCTGGGGCAGGGGTGGGGTGGGGTGGGGTAATTCGTGCACACACTGCCTTCTGTGGAGGTGATGACTGTTTCTCAGGTTCCCTCTCTGGAACTGAACCCTGATCCTCTGTCACTTCTGGTCCCAAGGTAGAATAAAATACAGTTTTTATTCCCAATTTTATTTGCTATACTATGAATTACACTGTAGTTGGGCACCAGTGGCTCATACCTGTAACCCTAGCTACTTGGAAAGCTAAGATCAGGAGGATTGAGGTTCGAGGTTAACCCAGGCAAATAGTTTGTGGAGACTCCATCTCCAAAAATAACCAGGGCAAAATGGCCTGGAAGTATGGCTCAGGCAGTAGAATGCCTGCTTTGTAAGCATGAAGTACTGAATTCAAGTCGCAGTCCCACCAGAAAAAAAATCGCAAACAGCCAACACTTTTTGTTTTTTTCCAGTGTTGGGGGTTGAACCCAGGGCCTTAAGCTTGCTAGGCAAGTGCTCTACCGCTTAAGCCCTACCCCTGGCTCCTGGCCCCCCTTTATTTATTTATTTTTTTTGTTTTTGCATTTTGTTTTTAGCACAGGATCTTACTAACTGCCCAGGCTGGCCTTGAATTTGAGATCCTCCTGCCTCTACCTCCCAAGTCCTGGGATCACAGACTTCGCCACCATGCCCAGCAATGGGCAGCACTGAACTCACTTTAGTGGCCAGTCCCAGTGCTGAGGATGGAGGCGTGGCACACAGAATGGGCGCCCGATGCTCTGACCTGTGTTGCCTGTCCTGTGCACGCAGAGTGTTATTCCATACCTGTGGGAGACACTGCCTGGTCTGTTTTTCCTAAGGATTTACGTCTGTCTCAGCCATGGAGAGCTTGTAATTTTGGTCTTGGACTTGAAGTTTAGGTAACCAAATACTGGACATAATTTTTTGGCTTGTTTTTGGAGTAATTGACATTTTTACCTTTTGTGTGTCTAGCGAGCTGAGATTCCAGAGACTGTCATCGACTTCTTCCTCAGGGCAACAAGACTTTGAAAATGAGCTGGTTGGTATCTGAGGGACTGTGCGGTTGTGGCCGGGGGTGGGCATGGGGACCCACAATTGTGACTGATGTGGTCAGGCAGCTGCAGTCCTGGTTCAGCAGCTAGTGCTGCAGTGGCCCTCGTGTGGCCAGTGCCGTGTGCACAAAGGCTCCTGAGTGGGAAGCCCCACGTGGCGATGGCACCTGCAGACTCATTGCCTCACAGGCAGAAAGGGCTGTTCATCCCCCTGGCTTGTCTCTTACACATATGGCTTCATGTGACAGTTAATGATTGACCTGTCTGCTAGGTTTTGAGACAAGTGTGGGCCTTATGTAGCCCTCGCCCTGCCCTGGGTACCTAGTAGACACTGACATGTCATTGAAGGAAAAATGAACAAATATTTGACTTTTCCGGCTGGTAACAGCCCAGCTTGAGGGAAATAGTTTCAAAGACGTGAAAAGTCATAAAACCTATGTGCACTCCTTTGCCTCTCCGACGCCACCCAGGGCACTGCCCAGTTTATCAGGCTTGCCCCCGTCTTTTGTCCTTTTTCCCCTCGGTCACTTTGAAGCAGTTGAAGCCCGCATCTCAGTCTCCATAGCTGCCCAGTTCCGTGATCTGACCCTGCAGCCCCGTGTGCCACAGGTGTCAGAACTTGAGAGGTTTTAGGGTGAATTCCAGGCCTGGGTGCACCTTGCAAAGGACTGTGAGCACACTGACTGTCATGCTTGCTGAGCGTGGGACAAAAGTACTGTTTTTCTATAGTAGGAAATTAAATGGTTTTTAATCTCAAAGATGATGATTGCATTGGCCTCCCAAAGACAGCGCTGGATGCTAATTTCTGCTCGCTCTGTTTCCAGGGTTGCTGCCCCTGGCTGACTGCCATCTTCCGTCTGCAGTGAGTGCTGGCAGTGGGGTGGGGGATGGAGACACCAGTAGGGCAGGTGGCTTTGTACCTTTGTGTGGTTGCTGGGCTAGTCAGGAGGAAAGGGCTGAGATGCTTGATGCAGAGACAGCATCACTTTCAGTTCAGCTCTGAAGCACATTAGGTCATTAGAATTGGGCCGGGGGTTTTCTTCACCCCTCTGTAGTTGGGTAACCATGGTAATTCATCGATCCTAGTGCCGCCTCTTCTTCTGTATGTCAGCATCTCCGAAAGGGGGTGCACTGCACAGCGAGAGCTTATGGTAGCTCAGGTGGCAGCACTTTCTTGTTGGTGTGTGCACACTGGGAAAATGGCTTCATGGACTCCATGCATACAGCAGCAGGCGGCAGGGCCAAGGTCCTCCAGCCCCTGACTCCTGGCTCCTTCTAGCATGTGAAAGGTGACCAGCCAGGTCACCAGGCACCTGCCCCAAGTTTTGAAAAAAGAAAACTCTTAACCAAGTGAGCTGAATAATTCTATCTTCCACTTTTCATTCAGTGAAATGTAAGTCTGCCCAGCAGAATAATTCCTGCCTAAAGCAAAAACAAAAGAAAACCCAGAAAGCTTTAATTGCCTTGTGCAATGCTATGAAAAAAAAGAACGTCTTGGAGTTGATGAAATGCAGTGATGTTAGGCCAGTGAGTTCCTCTCCCAGGCCTTAGTTTCCCCAGCTGAGGTTGGTGGGAGTTGTGCCCAGAGGAGCTGGCAGGAGGCAGAGCCAGTGAACGTTGGCCTAGAGCAGGAGGAAGAAGGAAGGGGCAGATTTGGAGGCGAAGAGACATGGCTCATTGTAAGGCCTGGTGCTAGAACAGGTCGTGGGGCGCAGCTGCTCTCACAAGCATGTTTGTGAGCATCTTCTGGGGGCCCGACCCAGCATTCAGTGCTCGATGCCCAGTGTGTCCTTGAGCCCTGCTAGGTGGGTGAAGTGAGTAGTGGGCACTTTTCCCTGGTCAGGACTTAGGCTCAGGTAAGCCGTGGGACCTGCTCCCAGACAGGCGGCTGAGGTGATCTGCCGTGGTCTGCTGGGCTGTGAGGCCTGTGCTGCTGTCCTGCACAGCTGCCTGTTGGTGAGGCCAGGCTGGCTTCTCCAGTCTTCCAGTGCAGGATTTACCTGGCCTGCTGGGGCAGGAGCCACAGGTCCCTCCTGTCAAGAGAGTAGGAACGTGTGGATGGAACACCTTCCTCTCCCTCCGTGGCTAGGAAGTCTGGCTCTCTTGAGCCTGGAATTTTCTAGGTCTTCATTGAGTCAGAGCTTCTAAATGTAGCACTTTGGTGGGGGGTGGGGGTGGGGGGAGGATGAAGCAAGCAGCCTCCCTGCCTCTGGGGCCATGGCAGTGCGGTCAGATGAAATGAGACAGGGTGGGGTGCCCCTGAGCGCACTCCCACCACACACCTTGCCCCTGGCTGAACGGGGCAGACGTTTCCAGCCATGTAAGTGGAGTGGTGGCAGGTCCTTCCCGAGAGTCTCGTGTGGGACCATGGAGCTCACATCATGGCTCTGCTGGCACAAGACGTGTGACCCTGAGGGCTGCTGGGTTTTTCTGGACATTGTAGTCCCAGGTCGAGAAGCGAGGGGGTTGACAGCACACCCTAGCGGGACAGTTGTGAGGGTCACTCCGGGGAGGCCTGCGGAGTGCTTGCTAAGACCGTGCCTGTCCCGGCCAGTGATGACCAGATCCTGGAGTGGTGTGGGGAGGACGCCATCCACTACCTGTCCTTCCAGAGACACATCATCTTCCTCCTGGTGGCGGTCAGCTTCGTGTCCCTGTGTGTCATCCTGCCTGTCAACCTCTCAGGAGACCTGCTGGGTAAGGCCCTTCCTGTCATGGTCTGGGTTGGGACAGGGCAGAGCAGAGCCCTGGAGAAGGGGCTCATTGTGGTCCACCAGAGCCCAGGTAGTCAGTCCCCATCTCACTGGATGACTGAATAAAAGTCTCGGGTAACTTCTGGGAATTTTCCATCTGAGTAAATCTGGAAGAGAATCATCTAGTCCATGTGTGGGGCGACTCAGGACCTAATGTCAGTTTCTGGTGCTGTCTAAATAGAGAGAAAACCACACAGGATTTATAGGTTTGGAGGATTTCAGGAAGAGGTGGTAGGTGTTTGCTGGCCTTGCACTCACACCCTCCTGCCTTAGCCTCCTGTGTGCCACCACACCTGCTTCCAAAACTGCTTTCCTTCCCTCACCCAAGTTGAGGTCACATTTCCGAGATCTGGAAGATGCCTGTGATTCAGTCACAATCGGTGTGGAATTTTATCTCGCCAGCTTCCAAAATGCCATCACAGACGGGCATTGGCGGCTCACCCTGTAATCTTAGCTACTTAGGAGGCTGAGATCGGGAGGATAGAGGTTTGAGGTCAGTGTGGTCAAATAGTTCACAAGCCCCTATCTCCAAAATAACCAGAGCAAAATGAACTGGAGGTGTGGCTCAAGCAAAGGGCACCTGCTTTGCGAGTGAAAAGCTCTCTACTTGTGACACGAGTGATTCCAGCACAAGCTTTGGTAACAGCTTAGGATGCATCTGGTTTTCCTCAAAGCATCTCAAAGCACATCTAAAAGCAACACGAGTTAAATTCTGACTTCCCACATGGTGGATTGCAGTGAGCTGTCAGGGAGCACCCTGGAGCGGAGGAGGCCCTGGTTACTGGAGTGTCCAGCTGCCTCTGTACTTTGTGCTCTGCCTTCCCAGAGGTTATGTCCCCTCCTACCTTCCATTGGTCACCCTGGAACTATCTCTGTGCTTCTCTGCAGACAAAGACCCTTACAGCTTTGGGAGAACGACGATAGCAAACTTGCAGACCAAGTGAGTATGGAGGCCGAGGAGGGTAAGGGTGCTGACCACGGAGGAGGCAGAGCCAGAGCTCAGGGTGGGCCAGAGGGAGCCCCACACAGTCAGGCTAACGTCTGAAGACAGGTGCGGCTGCTGTGTTGTGGGACTGTGCGTATGAGCTTGTTTGTGAAACATGGGGGTCTAGGGGGGCTTGGAGTTCATCTGTCAGGACAGGGACAGGGACCTCTCTAGGTATTCACCATGGGCTGAGGGACACTACCCATGTGGCCTCTGTTGTGACGAAGCCACTGGCCTTTGGCTCAGTGCCCACTGAGGGTACCCAGCCCAGCCCTGAGCCCAAGCCCCAGCCCCTTGCCTGGGAGTGCCCCTGATGACAGGTGTGTCCCCTCAGCAATGACCTCCTGTGGCTGCACACCATCTTCTCTGTCGTTTACCTTCTCCTCACCGTGGGCTTCATGTGGCACCACACCAAGTCCATCAGGTACAAAGAGGAGAACCTGGTGAGTGAGGTTGGCCCGGGACATGTGCTGGGAGGACTTGGGTAGGAGCTGGAGGGGACCGGCCACCTGGGCTCATGCCACAGGACCACAGCAGCAGAGCGCTCAGGGAGGCGCCTCTGGGATCTGGCCTGCACGTTTCTGTTCTCATGCGACACTTTTACATTTTCTTGGTGGATTGTTTTACAACTTGGATATTTTTCCCTTCATTCTGCCAACTTGTTCTCTGATCTGTGGGTTTGGAGCTTGTAGGTACTGATGCTAAGTAAAGAAGTAAGCCAGGCATGGTGGTGCAGGCCTGGAAGTGGGGGCAGGAGGATTGTGAGTTCGGGTCCAGCCCGGGCTGTATATCAAAACCTTGTCTCAAAACAAAATGTAAAACAAAACCAAAGAAACAGGTTGAGGGCTGGTGTGTAGCTCAGTGGTAGAATTTTGCCTGGCTTGGCTGGCAGGTACTGAATTTGCTCCCAGCACTACAAATCAGTCAGTCAGTTGAAAAAGCTCAGGTTGAGGGCAGCCCTCCTTCCTGTGACTAGGTTCCAGGACCAGGTCCTCCTCTGCTCTGCTGTGATCCAGTTTTCACCACTTCTCTGGGCTCCTCTGTGTCCTGCCCTGCAAAGGAGGCCCACAGACTTGCTTTGGAAATGGGTTCTTCTGTAGCCTTTGCAAGAAGATGGCGTGTCAATAACATGCACCAGCTCATCAGGCCAAGGACAAGAAACCCAAGCATCCTCCTCTGTTGTTTTCTTTCTGGAAGCTTGAGCGAGGTGGGAACCTGGGCCCATCACAAACTGGCTCGCCTTGGTGACTGTTCTTCCTGATGTCTTCTCTGGCAGGTAAGACAGACCCTGTTCATCACAGGAATCCCCAGAGATGCCAAGAGAGAGACCGTGGAGAGCCACTTCCGGTAAGCAGGGCCGGGGTGAGCATGCACCGAGCCCTCTCCAGGCGGGACCAGACCTCCAGAGGTCCTACTTGTGAGCACCTTAGCTGGACACTTTGCACCTTCCACTTGGGGATGCAGGTGATCTGAGAGGGACCGCCCTGCCCCGGTATCGAATGGCTGCTAGGTGTGCCTCTGCTGGTGCCGTGCAGTGTCCACTGCGAGCCACGGTGTGGGGGTTGGCGGGGGAGAGGGGATGGTTCAGCGGGTCTGAGTGTCTGCTTTACCAAGGGGAGGTTCGTGAGCTAAGCTGAGATTCCTGGCTTGCTGGCTGTGCTGACCACTCGGCAGGTGTCTGTTGAGGGAGCTCGTGCTTGAGTGGAGCCTCTGCAGACAGCTCCCACCTGTGAAGGTGGAGGAAAGGCAGGACAGGGCTCGTGGGGGAGGGCAGCTGCAGGCCACAGGCTGTGGGGTGGCCCTGGGGCCGAGCTCTTAGTCTGTCTTCACTCCATGCGGGTGCAGCAGTCACCGAGTTGTAGCTTGACTGTAGGTGAACCTGTGCTATTTGTGAAGGCACTTGCTAAGCGAGTTATTAACAGAAAGTGAATCGGAGATGAATGTCTACGCCAGTATTTTAGAAATGTTCACATGTGTGCATTTATATAATATTCACTCAATACCGGAATCATTTTTCTCTGTTCCTTGAAACAACTCCCAACGTTGTCTGCTGACTCACATTTGGAAACAGGGCTTTTTCACCTATATGCTTAAAGAGGAGGAAAAGTCCCCTCCTGCTGGAGCAGACATCTTGCCTCTCACACTGCCCACTTCGTCAGCCTCCACGGGGGTGGACGTGTGAATTTTCCTCGTAGCAGTGACACCCACACTGGGAGTCTCTTCCTCAAGCTTTTTTTTTTTTTTTTTCAGTGCTAGGGATGAATCTCAGGGCCTCACATTTCCTAGGCAAGTGCTCTACCACTGAGTCACGCCCCCAGCCCTTCTCAAAGCTTAATGGGACCTGAAATTGTCCTGCTGATTGGATAACCGACACACCTACGGGCGTTTCTCTCACTACAATCTAGGCTTCTGCAGGCACTGTTCAAAGCACCCTGGGAGTCCCTGGGAATCTTACATTTGGTTTTGTTTGTAGGGGGATGGGGCACTGTGTGGTGGCTGAGGGCCTTGACCTTGCAGCTGGGCTGCTGGACTCAGCTTCTTGCTCAGACTCTCACTAGCGGTGTGACCTTGGGCACAAGCCATTTAACCTTTGTTTTCTCGTCTGTACGATGGGGCCAAACCTACAGTGTGCATGTGTTTGCTGGCTATTAATGTGTATAGACACTTTTGGGGTGAGGGTCTTTTGCTTTCACCAGAGCCCCTGAAGCTCTGTGGCCTTCAAGACAGTTATGACGTGAGTAGGATTTTGGTGATGGCCCAGGGTACTGTCATATACAACAGGCCTCTCCTTTTGAGTGGTTACTGAGGATAAAGGACCTGCACGGGTGGGTTTTGCCCGCTGGGGGTGGAAGCCAGGGCCTTGCACATGCTAGGTAGGTGTTCTGCGCCGAGCCAGACCCCACACCTGATGTGTTCATTTTTCCCATGAGAAGTGTCAACTGATTGAGAGCCAGCAGGTATTAATTGTCAGTTTCAGGCACATCCTTCATGCTATTAAAAACCACCTCTGCAGATGGGAGAGCACTTGTCTACTTGTCTAGCTGCACAAGGCCCTGTGTTCAATCCTCAGCACTGCAAAAAAAAAAAAAAAAGTCTGTATTAAACTTGTGAATCCCCTTTGGGGAGTAAAAGACAAAGAGAGAGGTCTTTGCTGGCACAGAGCCGAGTGTCACTGGTCCCTTGGAGACGGGTCAGGCGACATCTTCCCTCCAGGGCTGTCTCTCTTTCAATGGCTTCTTTTGCCCTGGCCCTGCTGGCCACAGGGATGCGTACCTCACCTGTGAGGTGGCAGATGTCCAGCTGTGCTACAACGTGGCCGAGCTTATCCACCTGTGCAGGGAGAGGTAAGGAATGGTGGTCATGCCCTGGTTCAGCTGGCCTGGAGTTCTCTAACCCCTTGCCCCTGAGATGCCCACCTGCTTCTCACCAGCGCAATACCCCTCAGCTGGGTAGGGAGGGGGTGGCCCTGCCTGTCCCTTCCTGGTTCGCAAAACTGGGCTCCCCGTTCTCTGCTCGTGACCGATGGTTGATCATGGCATGGAGCCTGTGTCACAGGCTCCTGCCTGTCTGTGCCCTGTCCCACTCTCACCTGTCCAGAAAGAAGGCTGAGAAGAGCCTGACCTATTACACAAACCTTCGGGTAAAGACGGGTGGGCCGACGCTCATCAACCCCAAGCCCTGTGGTCAGTTCTGCTGCTTTGAAGTGCGGGGTTGTGAGCGGGTGAGTGGAGGAGCGCCCCACAGCCCTGGCCCAGGGGGCCCTGAGGTCATGTCACCTGAGGGGATATGTCTTCTGGCAGGAGGACGCCATCTCTTACTACACCCGCATGAATGACAGGCTGCTGGAGAAGATCACGGAAGAGGAGTGCCGGGTCCGGGATCAGCCCTTGGGAATGGCCTTCGTCACCTTCCGGGAGAAGGCCATGGCCACCTAGTGAGTGTGGTGACTCCCTGTCCCTCTCTGGATACTTCTTGTCTCTCTTGTACAGAGGCACTGCTGCCACTCCTTCAGGGAGTGCATGCTTGTGTGGCAGCTGGTGACTCTAGCTGGCCCCTGCAGGGTGGACAGCCTGGCCCAGGTAGGACTCTCACCAGCTGGTAGGGATCTCACCAGCTGCTCGAGGGATCCGTCCCGCTAGCTCTGTGCTACGCATCCTGCTGGGCGGCGGGGATACTCCGGAACCACAGTCCCTTCGATCCTCGGGATAACGGGAAGCCCTGTGGGGCACACAGGGTGCGTGCAGCTGTGGGAGCCTGGAGCTCTCCACTCACAAAGTGCTGTCATGCCCAGGCCTTGGTCTCCTGGTCCTGGGAGCAGCAGGGGTGGGTTTGGGAGAGGGATGCAGAGAGGAGGAGGACACTTGTCCTGCTTCCCTTGACCTAGGCATCATGACACTGGGATCCATTCCTTGGACCTTACCCAGACCCAAGCATGGGAGGAGGCCAGTGGGGAGAGGAATGCTGTTCTGAGACAGGAGTCCAGGGGCCTGTAGGTTCTTTCTGGGAGGCCAAAGGGGAAAGAGTGATGTGCACTGAGAGGGGGAGGGTCCGGGTGGGAGTCCTGGCTGGGAGCTTAAGGAACAGGCAATCTGTGATGTGGCCTCATGCTGCTCCAGGCCTGGTAATGAAGGGAGGAAATGGGAAAGGGGAGCCCCTGGGCCAGCGGCAGGATCAGATCAGAGCTGCAGCAGGTGGCAGTGGTGGTGTGTGTGGTGACCCTTGGAGGAGGACCGTGTTGGGGCAGCACAGGAGCTAGAGTCAGACAGGTAGGGACGCAACACCCTAACCTTGTGGGACTCAGTTTCCTTACCTGTAAAATGGGATTGCAAGTCCCTTGCCTTCAGGGTTGTGGTAAGGATCGAACAGAATCCTCCAAGCTCAGCACTAATTACAGCAGGGTAGCAGTAGCGAAGCAGACAGCCTGTGCCATGAGGCTCCCACTTTCCCTGGGTCCCCGTTTGCCACACATGCAGGCGAGCCAGGCCCTGATTGTTTCTGCATTTCCTGGCAGCATCCTGAAAGACTTCAACGCCTGCAAGTGTCAGGGCCTTCGCTGCAGAGGCGAGCCCCAGCCCTCCTCCTACAGCAGGGAGCTCTGCATCTCCAAGTGGACTGTCACCTTTGCCACCTACCCTGAGGACATCTGCTGGTGAGCACCCCGCTGGGGAGGGGTGAGAGAGAGCCCTGGGCTCCTGGTGGGGGCTGCCCCATCACCTGGAACATCCGGTGACTTGACTTCAGGGGACATCGACACACATCTCTTGCAAGTCCCTGGGCCACAGTGCTGCAGCATGCTTGTGGCCCAGGCGGTGTCCACCCCAGGGCTTCCCCCACTGTTACTCTCTGCATTCGAGTGCTGTCCAGCAGAAGTGAGCTCCTTATGTAATTTCACGTGTTCTAGCAGCCGTGTTAAACAAGACATGGCTGACATTAATTTTAATAAAGTAGCTCTTTTAATGTATTCAAGATGTTTACATATCAACACTTATTCTTTTTAATCAGGATAGTTTTACATTCTCTTTTTCATACTTAGTCTTTAAAGTCTGTTGCATATTTTATTATTATTACAATATTTGGGGTTTTGAACTCAGGGCTTCGCACTTGAAAAGCAGGCACTCTGCTGATTGAGCCACACTTCCAGTACGTTTTGCTCTGGTATTTTGGAGATGGGGTGTTGTGAACTTTCTGCCCAAGGTGGCTTTGAATTTTGATCCTCCTGATCTCAGTCTCCCAAGTGGCTAGGATCACAGGCGTGAGCCACCAACTCCTGACTGTTGCATATTTTATACTTCTGGTACCTGTCAGCTCAGACCATCACCCTTTGTGGCTATGTGTTGGTCAGTGCAGCCCTAGGTCAGGCTGGGGCCATGCTGGTGACCTTAGGCCATTAGTGTGACTTTAGCACCATCCTGGGGATGAGGCAGCCCAGCAGACTGCCTGCCCAGGTCACCTTGGTTGCTCACACAGACTGCATTTCGGGTGCTTGTCTCCACTGAATTTGAGTTCAGCTTCCAACAGTTTTGCTGTCTGGCGCACAGGGCTTTTCAGACTTGGGACTGGCGCATGGACTGGTTTTGGTGGGAACAAGAAGCCAGGTCAGGCTCCCATGGTCCCTGTGTCCATGCCTGCCACCTCCTCACACTACAACCCCTCTGGGAAGAACGTTTTGTTAGTCACAAAGCATTGCAGGTGTCCAAGAGGTGCCATACTCGAGCTTTGCTTGGTCTGTGTGGGCGCTTGTGACACCTCTTTGGGTGGGTTGTGGCCCCTAGACCCTGTTGGGGAGCCACATCAGTATAAACTAGTGTTTTCCTTCCGAGCTCATGGGGACCTGGAACTTAAGGCCAGTGCATGGAACTTGCTCTTACTCCTGAGGCCCAAACCAGACCTTAGCCAGAGCCCTGAGCTAGTGTCCTGGCCTGCCTGAATCTGACTTCTGGCCGTGGCACAGGTGGCATGGCAGGTGGCCTGTGCCTGGGAGCAGAGCCTCCTGACCTGTGTCCCCCTCTGCAGGAAGAACCTCTCCATCCAGGGCCTCCGCTGGTGGCTCCAGTGGTTGGGAATCAACTTTAGCCTCTTCCTGGTGCTGTTTTTCCTGACCACACCCTCCATTATCCTGTCTACCATGGACAAGTTCAACGTCACCAAACCCATCCATGCCTTGAATGTGAGTGAACGTGCTACAAAGCCCACCCAGAAGGGCTGGAGGGAAGAGGTTGTAGTGGGTAGGGGATGAGAGCCGAGGCTGTGGGGGGACTGAGCCAGGAGGCCAGGTCACTTGGCACACATCTGCACTTTGAAGCCCCAAGCAGGCCCGGCCACGTTTATTCCAGTGTCTTCTTAGTAATGTGATGTGTATTTAATTAACGGAATCATTTTAAGTGCTCAACAGGACAGATGATTCAAGTTGAAGATGGTGCAGTCTGCCTGCACCAGTGTTTAGCATGTTTAAGATTACAGTCATGGTGGTGGACTTGAGGGGCTGAAAAGAGCAGAATGTGGATTGTCTCCAAGCAATGTTCTGGACATAATGCAAAGAGTTTGCTGGGGTGACAGACCAGGATTTCTTCTACATTTTACTTCTTGATAATCTTGTTATAGACTCATTTATTCCACATAGGTGATGAATGATTTTCAAAATGTTGCCCGGCACAGTGGCTACTCTGGAGGCTTAAGGCAAGAGGATTGCTTGAGACCAGGACGTGTAGCAAGACTCCCTGCCAAAAACCAAAAAGAAACAAAACATAAAGCTAAACTAAGAGGTGGATGTGGTGATGAACACCTGTAATCCCAGCACTGAGGCTGAGGCAGGAGGGTCAAAGTTCAAGGCCAGCCTGGGCTAGCTAAGGAGACCTGACTGCAAACAGACAAACAGACAAACAAAGCTGAGTCAGATAACATCTAAACACACCCAATGGCCATCTACAGAAAGAGGCTGGTTTCTCATTAACTGCTGAAATAAGGCCACAAATCTTTCTTTTTCTTTTTTCCAGCTCTGCTTGGTGCTTGGTTAATCACCTCTGGGGAGGAGTGCTAGGTGGGGCCTCTGGGCCCCAGGTCCTGGGTTTGCCATCTCCTAGCTGGTGAATTTTGAACCTGTTTTTCATCCAAGAACTGGAGTTAAAACCCCTGCAATGGGCTGGTGGAGTGGCTCAGGTAGTAGAGCACCTGTCTAGAAAGTGTGAGGCCCTGAGTTCAAACCCCGGTACCACAAACACAAAAGACAACAACAAAAAACCCCACCTGCCATATCATGGGATGTTGATCAAAGGAGGCAGCACGTGGGGAAGCTAGCTTCCACCTCCTGGCTAGAGAACAAGGGCCTGAGGAAATCTGTGGCTTAAATTCCTAGGTTGAGATGTGTGAGGATGATCTGTTGGTTAGAGTTCCCCTTTGTCTCTTTCATATAAGCTACATTCTTATTTCACCATTTGTGATTCCAGTTTGGATTTCTTTAAAGAGAATTTAGGCTGGGGGTGTAGATCAGTTGTAGAGTGAGCGTTTACCTTGTGTGAGGCCCTGGGTTCTATCCCTAATATAACAAATAAATAAGCAAAGTGTTTATTGAGCTAGAATTTATTTATTTTTTTTGGTACTCAGGACCTACACCTTGAGCCACTCCACCATCCCTTTTTTGTGAAGGATTTTTTGAGAGAGGGTCTTGAGAACTCTTTGCCCAGGCTGGCTTTGAACTGTGATCCTCCTGATCTCTGCTTCCTGAGTAGCTAGGATTAGCTAGGATTACAGGCATGGGCCACCAGCACCCAGCATTTAAAGATATTTAAAGAATTTAAAGATATTTGCAAAGTCATTCCAAATGTAGAACTTTCCTGGGTTTCACATCACTTGGTCTTTACACTTAAATTACTCTTATATATAAGTCAACAGCTTTTTTTTTTTTGGAAGCACTGGGGTTTGAACTTAAGGACTCAAGCTTACTAGGCAGGCCCTCTACCACTTGAGCCACTCCACCAGCCCCGCTTTGGGTTTTTTTGAGATAGGGTCTTGTGAGCTATTTGCCTGGGGTGTCTTTGAACCTTGGCCCTCCTGATCGCCACCCTCTTGAGTAGCTGGGATTACAGGCCTGAGCCACTGGTGCCCCGCTACTCAACGGCATTTTTGAGAAACGGGCCTTTATATATCTTTCCAAAATAGCCAGCTAAATTTGTTTTTTTCTTTTTTTTCGGTGCTGGAATGGAAACCAGGGCCTCGTATGTGCCAGGCAAGCTCTCTACCACTAAGCTGCACCGCCAGCCCAATTTTCAAAGACAGTTTCATAGTTTTTATGTTCATGTAATCAGTGAAAGTAAGCTAATCAAACCACGTAATGATAATAACAAGTACGACTGTCGTAAATGGGACTGGGGTCAAACCCAATGGGTTCCTGGACCACGGGCTCTCAGAGGACGACAGCTGGGAGGTGCCCTGACATGACTGGGCTCTCTCCCCATGGGGAGCGGAGAGGCCTCATCAGATGAGTGGAATCTCAGCGTGTGTGAAACTACAGGTGCCGTTGTTGTTATCCCACCAACACTTGTGGACTGCCTTCCCTGTACACAGCCCAACACTGGGTCTGTGGGATGACAAGACCCTTCCCAGAGTCCACAGAGCCACAGCCCCCGTGACTCTCCTGCCGTGGACCTTGTCTTCCAGAACCCAGTCATTAGCCAGTTCTTCCCAACTCTGCTCCTCTGGTCCTTCTCGGCCCTGCTTCCGTCCATTGTCTACTACTCCACCCTGCTGGAGTCTCACTGGACCAAGTGAGTGCCGGAGCCCCAGTCCCCTCCCCTGGGAACAATGTCTCTGCCCCCAAGCCCTGGGCAGTAGGCACATAGCAGGGCCTTCCTGAAGCACCTGGAGCATTGGGGGATCCCCAGTGCTTACCTCTGGCTTCCTGCAGGTCAGGGGAAAACCGTATCATGATGACCAAGGTCTACATCTTCCTGATTTTCATGGTGCTGATCCTGCCCTCCCTGGGCCTCACCAGGTTTGTCGCCTCTGCACTGTCAGCTCAGAATCAGGGCCACAGCTGGAGGGCATCCTCCCCAGCACAGAAGTGATTTTGCAGCTGCGGCTGGTCCCTACAGCTTTTAAGCCTGTTGTACCCATGAGGATGTAGTGTGCTGGTGGTTGACTATGGAAATATGGTCTTTTAAAAATTAATTAATTAACTCAAAAGCTTGCAGCCAGGTGCAACTACTCAGGAGGTAGAGATCAGGAGGATAACAGTTCAAGGCAAGGCCTGACAAAAAGTTAGCAAGACCCCATCTAAACTAACAAGCTGCATGCCTGTGGTCCCAGCTATGAGGTGGGAACATTGCTGTTTGAGGCAGGCGCTGGTAGATAAAGTAGAAGATGCCATCTGAAAAATTACGAGAACACTTGCTTTGCAAGTTAGAAGCCCTGAGTTCAAGGGCGTAGCTCAAGTGGTAGAATGCTTGCCTAGCAAGCTGGAGACCCTAAGTTCAAAACCACCAAAAACATAAAAAACTTGCAAACAAAACTTACTGAGGTCTAATCATAGTTGTGTTTATTTCAAGGAAGCTTCTGTTGAGCAGGCCTGGTGAGTCAGGCCGAGTCACATCTTAGTGAGTGGCGTAGATCTCTAGATCCCAGCTGGGTGAAGCAAAAGGAAAACCATACCGTGATCACATGGTGTTAGAAACAGACTCCCAGAGGCGGGGCCCGTAGCTCAGTGGTACAGTGCTGCCTAGCATGAGCGCCCGGAGCTCCAGGCTTTGATCCCTAGCATTACCAAAAAATAGAAAAGGAAGGGAGGGGAGGGAATGGGAGGGGAGGGAAGGGAAGGGAGAAAGAAAGTCCTGTGACTCACTTGTTTTGCAGTCTGGATTTCTTCTTCCGATGGCTCTTTGACAAGACGTCCTCAGAGGCCTCCGTCAGGTTGGAGTGAGTGTCCTTTGAGCTGCTCTGGGTATGAGACCACAGGACCTGTGGGGAGGACCACAGGACCTCCTCCCCAGACAGCAGGCCTGGGGCTTCACTTCCAGCCTTTCTGTGTTTCTGGGACTCCGTGAGAAATGACCCACCTTGGGCTATGCTTGCAGAAAGATGGTTAATCTTAGGTCAAAAATCAGTACACGTCAGACACTTTTCTAGTTTGAAACTTGCTGACGAAGCACAGAGCTGCGGGGAGAAGGAGCTGTGAGTCACAGTGGGCCAGGCAGTGGGGAGGGAGAATGACTAATTAAACCTGGCAACCTGAGTGAGGGTCTGGTCTGAGATTCTTTTTGTTGGAGAATGGAGTTAAACATAGGGTGCTGTGTGTCCTCGAAGCACTTAATAGTGACAGCTGTTTAAGAAGGTGCTTTGCTAAATGTTTTTTGCATCTTTTTTTTAACCTTTAGAACAAGCTTTGAGGTAGATACTACTATTACTTCCATTTTACAGATCAGGAAACAGGTTCAGATGTGTTGAGTTACTTGGCCGGGGGAGCCCACCTAGTTTAGAGACAGAGCCAAGATCAAGCCACTGTACTTGAGGGCTTGTTGTAGCCCAAAGCCTTGGGCTCAGATTTTCCAAGGGAATGCTCACAGGGCAGGTTAACTATGGTCTGTGATCCGTGGTCGCCTGTGAGGCAGGCAGGTTGTTTTAAGTGCTATCTTCCTGAGTAGGCTGATGACTCCGGAGCTGGCAGCCACAGACAGGCACAACTAGCTCTAGTCCAGGGTGACAGTGACTTCAGATCATCAGATCCAGGGCTGGGCTCTTAGTCCCCTGTCTCTGATCTGTCAGAAACATCTGACACATTTGACGAGCTTCCTCTGGAGACATCTTCCTCACTCAGCTCTGGGACTTCGCTCTTGGCATCCCTGCCCCAGACATCTCCTTCCCAGCCTTTTCAGGGGTTCTTTCAAGTCTCCCCAGCTTTGTGCATTGGCTCAGCCCTTGGTCCCCTGTCTTATCCCGCTCTAGGTGACCTCAGAGGACCCATGGCTTCAATACCACTCATCCACTCCTGAATGTGGACAAGGCGGTGGGTGCAGCTCAGTGGTACAGCACATGCTTAGTATTCTTGAGGCCATGGGTTCCACCCCCACTACTGTGTGGTGCTGGGATGGAACCCTGGGCCTCCTGCCTACTAGGCAAGCGCTCTAACACTAAGCCTCATCCCCAGCTAAAAGTAAAAATAAATACATGCAGACAACACCCACACTTGCCACTTCTGAGGGAGTTTTGGGGGTGTTGCAGACCTCACGTGCCCAAACTCCACTCCTGGCTTTTAGTCCAAATCTGCCACTGCACCGTTTCCCCATTGCGTACGTCTTCCTAGTTCTCTGGAAAAACCCTTGGAGATCCTTGCCTCCTTTCTTTCCTTCCCACACCACGGCCAGTCTATCAGCGGATCCAGACAGCTCTGTCTCCAAGATGGGTCCAGAATCCCACCCTGTTGCTCACGGGTGACAGCCGTCCAGTCTGCAGTGCTCTCCCTGTCCCAGCACACCCTCAACCCCATCAGAGTCACCCTCCTGCTCTAGGCCCTGGGTCCTTTCAGCCTCAATTTCTAGCCCTCCCCCGCGCTCTGCTGTGCAGCCTATGTCCCTCATGCTGTCATCTCATGAGCGAGCGAGGCCTCTCTGACTTCCTGCTGACATCACACACATCCCCGCCCTGCCTGACTTCCTGGGGAGCACATGTCTAGCACACAGTGGGTTACTTCGTTTGTGTCCCCAGGCAGCGTGTAAATTCAAAGACAGAGGAGTTCAGGGCTAGATTTTATGCTCAGCGTCCGGCACTCAGCTCTGCTCTACAAATGGTGCTGGGGAAGGGATGTGGTCAAAGTCCTCCCGGGGCCCCTCCTCCTCCCTCCTGGGACAAGGAGGCTCCTGGGTCCCAGCTCACAGAGCCCACCTGGCTCCCAGGTGCGTCTTCCTGCCAGACCAGGGCGCCTTCTTTGTGAACTACGTCATCGCCTCGGCCTTCATTGGCAACGGCATGGAGCTGCTGCGGCTGCCAGGCCTGGTCCTCTACACCTTCCGCATGATCATGGCCAAGACCGCCGCTGACCGCAGGAACGTCAAGCAGGTGCCACCTCCGACCCTCCCCAGCGTCCACTCACGTCCACGAGCTCAGGACTTACTCAGCCCCACAGTGCCAGGCACTGCGCAGAGCCACCCGACAGCGCCAGGCACTGCCAAGAACTTCTCAAACCTGGGCCCAAGGCCAGCTCTGCCAGGAACCCTATTTTCCCTAGGCACTGGCCAAGGACACCCGAGCTGGGGCTGAGCTGATGCTCAGGGGGACACTGGCTCTGTGGGGACTCACCTGTGGGGTGGACCTGACCAGTACAGGAAACACAAGGAGAGCATGAACGGCCATGGCTTGGGGGGGCTGGGTGTGTGCTGAGAAGGCACAGTTGTCTGGGAAGGAATGCCGAGACCTCCAAAAGTGGGGTGGACATGCACCTCAGACGTCCCGTGTCCCCCGCCACTCAGAGTACACATTGGGGTGCTTTGGGCGGGACCAGCCTGCAAGCCCCTCTCCTCTCCTCCTCCCAGCACCAGGCCTTCGAGTACGAGTTTGGAGCCATGTACGCGTGGATGCTCTGTGTCTTCACCGTCATCATGGCCTACAGCATCACGTGCCCCATCATCGCGCCCTTCGGTGAGTGGCCCTGGAGCTGGGCCCAGGCCACGTGGATAGCAGTTCTACTGTGCCTCTCGGGACAGCCACCACCAGGCCACGGTGGAGCCCGCACGCAAGCTCTTGTAGCCATGGGGAACCACAAGTTACCAAGTACCTGTGACTCCACTGGCCTCCAGCTACGACCTCTCGTAGTGCTGTCCTGTGAGGTGGTCTGTCCTCTGGCTCACCATCGCATTCTTGGTTGATTTTTTTTTTTTTTCGAGGTAGGGTCTCATTCTGTTGTAGCCCAGCCTGGTCTCGAACTTGGGATCTTCCTGCTTTCACCTCCAAGTGCTGGGATGAAGACAGGAACGTACCAAGCCCTGAGCTTCACACATGCCACGAGCTGCACCCCCAGTGCAGCAGCAGAGTTTTGACTGCTAGTTCAGTGCTGTCTTACTTAGTGAAAAGACGCAACCAAGAAGGACTGGGGTGGAGCTCATTGGTGGAGCCCTGGTCTAGCAGGCGTGAGGTTCCAGGTTCAATCTTCAGCAAGAAAGTGACAGAAAAAGGAAGCACCCAGCTTCTGTGCCCCCTTGATAAGGCCTTCCCGCATGTGAGGGAAGGAGGGGGTGGGAACTGAGCATCGGGGCTCAGTGTGAGGCCAGTGACCTCAGTATGAAACAGCGCCTTTCCCAGACAGTTCTGGAATGCCAGTGTGCTGTGCAGACACAATTACTGACACTGGCACTCCCTTGGGGGTCAGGAAGAAGTGAGGAGGAGGCAAGGTGGGAGAGAAAGAGACGGAACTAGCAGCCAGGATGTGCATTTTGCCTGGTTTCAGTTCGGCTATAGATCAGCAGCCCCACCTTAGTTCCACGTGAAAAACAGACCCCTGGGAGAAAAGGGGCAGAGGTGCCCCTGTGGCTTAGGGAGTCTCCAGCTCACAGCCCCACTTCTGCAGGGCTCATCTACATCTTGCTCAAGCACATGGTAGACCGGCACAACCTCTACTTCGCCTACCTCCCGGCCAAGCTGGAGAAGAGGATCCACTTTGCAGCCGTGAACCAGGCGTTGGCAGCCCCCATCCTCTGCCTCTTCTGGCTCTTCTTCTTTTCCTTCCTGCGCCTGGGTGAGGGGCCTGTGGGATCTGGGGCTGGTCTGGTCTCATATTCCCACACCCACTCCGGCTACTTTTAGGCCATCAGATTGGTGTCCTATCAGAATGTGGTACCCAGAGAAAGGCTGGTTGGTTGACTGTCCAATCAGAACATGGTGCCCAGAGTGAAGGCTGGCTGGGTGTGGTGTTGACAGCCGGCTCCTAAGTCAGCGCCACTCAGGTGTAACCTTCCTGAAGTCCTGGCGTATTGTCCCAGACATCTCTGGAGACAAAGACCACCCTTACATACCCTGTGGACTGAATCAGAGGAGACGAGGAAGCTGATAGGGAGTTTTCTTTAGGGTGTGGATGGGCCTAGGTCCCCACAACTCAGGATGGAATGTGCTGGGAGGAAACCTGAAAGAAGAGAAGGAGGAGCTATGTGTCTCCACCCAGTCAGGGCAGGGAAGCCTCCAGCCCACTGGGCCCAGGGCCCAGCAAGGTGCCCCTGACTTGGTGTCTTGAGGGACAATACTGGCCATTCTGTGGGTCACTGTGTGCTCCTGGCTGTGAGGACACCATTCCAGCTGCGAGAGGAGGGGCAGCAGGGGGTTAGGGTGCCAGCACCAGGCACAGTCCTTCTCAGGAGGACTAGCTCAAAAGGCAGCCCCACACCCCAAGGCTGGCGTCTCTGTCCCCAGGTCTGAAGGCCCCTGCCACCCTGTTCACCTTCCTGGTGGTGCTGCTCACCATCCTGGTCTGCCTGGCCTACACCTGCTTCGGATGCTTCAAACACCTCAGCCCCCTGAACTATAAGGTACAAGGCCCCTCCACCACTGCCAAGCCAGGACTCCGGCTCTCTGGCCACTCCTCCTAACCTCCCTGTCAACACAGCACCTCCTTTTCCATGTTGTGTTTATCAGGGAAAAGTGTGAGAGCCATGTGCTGTTCCCCTAGCTCCCCCCATCCCTGCCCCCGTACCCCCTTCTCCATCCATAGCTCGGGCTACACTGGGCCTCGGTGTCAGCTGGTGCTCTTGTTGTTTTTAATGGTCTGTGTGTCTGGAGGGGGTTACTACAAGGAGGTCAGTTCTGTTCATAATTGAGACTCTGTGTTACCTGCAGACAGAGGAATCAGTGAGTGACAAAGGCAGCGAGGCAGAGGCCCCGGTGCCTCCTCCGTTCACAGTAAGCGATCTGTATGTCTTACCCCCGCATGCTGCCCTTTTCCCTCATTGTAAAGGTCCCATCAGAGAGGCTCTGGTCAGTGTGCTTGGTCATCTCTTGCCAAACAGAGGTTCCCAGGCCAGGTGGAAGGGAAGTTTCTGAATTAATGTCAGTGGAGAAGGCCTGCCTAGTCCATGTGGATGGTTAGTCCAATCCCGGCACTCTCTGCACCCTAATTCTCTGAGTTTGGGGTTTCATTGCAGCACAGGCACTGCGAGACCCTATTTCCAGATGAAATTGTCACTGGCCATTCACCTATCTGTGTGAGGTCTCTGCCAGGTACAGGAGGTGTCACTTCCTTTAAGTTCAGCAAATGAACAATGCAACTGCTTAAGAGGGGGCAGTATGTTGGAAAAACAAGAGGGCCTTTCCCTTCCTGGTTCTCCCAGCCTCCAGCCTCCAGCCTCCAGGGTCCTGCCTAGGTGGGGGTGGATCCCAGAGTCACAAGGTGCTAGAGTGTAATGCTGGCCAACCAGGAAACGTGAGTTTATGACAGTGGTTCATCTCATCAGTGCTTTCTTGTAGCCATGGGAAGCAGGAACCCAGAGTCCAGGTACTCTCTTCAGTGTCTGTCCTTGGACAAGCCTCAGAATGTTCTGAGAGCATAATCACCAGAGACAGCAGGGAAACAGGGCAGGAGGGTGCTTAGGACCTCCTTCCAGTCTGGGCTGGGAGATGGGGAGAGCTCTGTGCCGGGGAGACAGCTGCAGCCTGGGACTGTGGAGGCACGACGGCACAGACGACAGACCGCCCTGCAGGTAGCTCGTTCCCATATAGAGTCAGGCTTCTCCCAGATCCAGTGCTAGGAAGTTCATTTCCTCTGAGAAATGGAGGAACGTCTTTATTGTCTTCCTCCTGCGTGATCTGGGTGGTGGCCTCTGTTTTGCCCTGGCTGCTGAGAAGTCAGCACCTGGCACATTTTGGGTTCTAACGCCTAAGATGACGTCATTTCTTTATGTGTCCTCCTGGTGGAAGGAGGAGGGGCGGTAGGGGACGAATGGATGAGTCTCATGCCTTCCACCAAGCACTAACTCTCGTGGTCGCTGGCAGCCCTACGTGCCCCGGATTCTGAATGGTTTGACCTCGGAGAGGACAGCCTGTCCCCGCAGCAGCAGCAGACTATGGCGCCATCCGCAACATCAGTGGGACTATCTCTGGGCAGCACTTGGCTCCGAGCCCTGAGGACAGCGTGGCTTCTGCGTACCAGGAGGCGTGAGGGTGGACAAGCTGCAGGTCTCTGCTGGGCTCAGGGAAGCCCTGAAGACTCAGGTGGATAAGGGACTTGAAACCTCAGCCAATTCACAACTGAAGTTCCTGGGGCTTGAACTGAAGGCCTGGAGCTTCATGCTCCCGGCCTCAGGTCTTCCCAGCTGTTTTAAGCCCCACTGCTCTGTAAAGATGGAGCCAGGAGGGCTGGGGTCCAGGCCTTGGCTGTGGGGGTAGGACTGGGACTTCCAGCTTAGAAACATCGGAGGGCCTCGTTTTCTCTGGTCTCAGCAGAAGTTGCTGGAACATCTGCAGCTCTCCTTGCCCTCATTTCTTCACATTTGTTTCTGCCTGCTACGCTCTCACCCACAAGCCTGCAGCTCTGTGCTGGGACCTGTCCCCAGTGGTTTGTAGCCAAGATCACGTTGGAATTTTGCCCAGCAGGCTGATTATGTTGGATGACAGGGAGAATTGTATCAAGGGTAGACCTCTCATCCCTGAGCACACACTGCCCACCCTCTGCAGGCTGACAGTAAACCAATGACCAAACCCCTGCAGCAGTTGGTCTGAGATGGAGCCTAGATGGGTGTCTGTGACCCAGGGCCCAGCTCGCTGCTCCTCCACATGGCTCTGGAGAGCTGGCGAGAAGGGATCTGCCCGTGCTGGCTGCAGCAGACCCCTGCCCGCTGTGCACAGACCACCACACTCACCGTGTTGTGCCTTTTTGTGTCCTGTTGCCAGGAATTCTGTGGCTGGGTCACAGTCAACTTGCAGCAGTCAGGGACAATGAGGACCATTAAAAATGACTGGTGAGATAGGCCTCTCTGTCTCTGTGGGAGGGTGTGTGTGTGGGGTTCCACCTCCCTGCAGGCTCCATCCAGTCCTCTCCCTGTGTTGGCTTCTTTCAAGGTGGGAGGGCAATGACCAAAGCTGTCCTGGAAGGCAGGAGGACTGTGAAGCAGGCGCAGAGGAGAGGAGTGAGGGGCAGAGATGCCACAGGGACAGGGCCATGGCCTGTCAGCACTATGCAGAGCCCATTTGCCTGCAGGCCTGTCCGGCCTGGGCTTGGCACCTTTCCACACCTGGCCCAGTTGCCTCTGCTCCAAGTGGCCTGTGCTCTGGAGGGGTTAGCGATGCCACCAGTCCTTTGGGAACTGGTGGTCTGGGCCAGTGGCCTCATCCCAGCACCCCCACTCATGTCTGCAAGCAGGGCCACAGAAGGCCGCAGTGCCCTCCCAGGACCAGTGCCACCCTCAGTGCTCTCTGAGGGAACCCCACAGGTGACCTCAGCCCTCTCGCACGTCATTTGCTTCCAGGAGCTCTTAGAAGTAAAATCATTTATCACCAAAGCCACACTGCTAAACACGGGTGCATATTGGGGGTGCTGCATATTGGGGGTTGTGTGAGGTCACACCAGGGGACAGAAGAAAACTCATTCCTTAGAAAAGGGGCATCTTCCCCAAGTCCAGGGTTGCCTAGAGACCCTGGTCATCCCTGTAGGTGTCACTGTTGCTCCACCATCGTCACGAACTTGCGGATGTCCTGGGCAAGCAGCTTGGGCTCCTCAAAGGCGGCAAAGTGGCCCCCTTCGGCCATGTAGGAGTAGGAGATGAGGCTGGGGTACTTGACCCTCACCCACTTTTCGGGGGTGTGAAGTATCTCCGAAGGGAAGGCAGCAAAGCCAGTGGGTACAAAGACCTTCATCCTGGAAGGAAGAGGCACCCCTGGGGGTGAGGCTTTAGCCCTGGGGCTCTCTGTACCCACAGCAGGGTCCCAGGCTGGTAGGGAGGGCTTAGCTGGCCGTGTGGAGCCATGAAGAAAAGATTGGGCTCAGGGTTCCAACTGTACTCCCACCCCAGCCCTCAGTGCCGCTCTCTAAGGACCCTCTTTTCTGCCCAAGGGCACGAGACAGCCTCACTCTGTCCTGTCACTTGGCTACGACCTGAGAATCTCCATATAGTACTTGGAAATCCCAAAGCATCAGTGCCACACCAGGCCTGCATCCTGGGTCTGGGGAGACCTTGAAGGCCATCTGGGGGCCAGGCCCTGTATCCCGGGCAGTCTTTCCTTGCCATCATACCTCCCTAAGGGCAATCCAGGCCCCTGTCCTCAGAGGCCATTCTCAGCTCAGCCACACTCACCGCTCATGCTTATTGGCCATGGGGCCTTGCCCCATGTTCTCCTTGTAGTAGCGCTGGGAGGAGACGATGGACCCTGTGGTCCAGTAGAGCATGACATTGGTCAGCAGGTCGTCCAGGGAGAACTTCCTGGGAAAGCAGAACAGGAAGCCCGCTCTCAGTGCCAGGTGCAGGTGTGTAAGAAGCAAGGGCGAGCATCAGCAAGACCCTGCTCACCTGGCCTCTCTCATCTCTCACTGCAAGGCAGTGGTGTCCCTGCACAGGCAGGCTGGGCTCAGGTCACCAGTTACCATGTGGAGGCTGCTGACCATGTGCACAGCTGCTGAGTCCAAGCTACCAGTGTTTAATTCACCAATTCTCAATAATCCACTGCCTGTAGGTTGCGGCATCACCTCCATCGTACCGCCAGGTGGCGCCCCAGGCCCGTGCTTCAGTTCAGTCCATGCACACTCTACAGAGCCAGGGTGGCTCCCTGTCCCCATCCTTCCTTCTCTCCCATGGTGAGCTCTGCCACCCTGCCTTCCAAGGGCACCCAGGTCCAGGCTTCCAGGGTAATGAATTCCCTCCTCAGGGTCCTGAGGGACTCGGAGTACCCAGAGGCAGGAAGCGGCCAGTCCTCTGGGTGTTGCCCAGGAGCCAGAACCCAAGCTTGCTGAAGGCCAAGAAGGAGAGGGCCAGGAGTCCAGGGACCCAGGTTCTGGTCTCAGACTCATGACTAAGAGCCTGGGACTCTGGCAGTTGTTCACCCTGCCTGCGCCCTCATCAGCCCTCTGGTAAAGTAGGACTAATGATACTTGAAAACGTGGAGGCATCAAAGAGCAACCATGACACAGGCCCAGTCTACTGACCTGACAGCCATTCAGCCAGAAAGCTTGAGCCCCAAGTTTACCAGGGCTGAAGGTTAGTACAGTGCCATTCACTCACTGACAACACATTTACTGAACACCAGCTGTGTGCCAGGCACTGAGGTTCAAAAGGTGCAGCAGGCTGGGTGACTGCCTGGAGGAAGGAGATGATGGCCTGATGGGGAGGATGACAGGCTAGGATGTCCCATGAGGGAAATAGGGACCCAAGGACCAGTTTGCTGGGTGAAGGGAAAGTAGGCAGGCTCCTCAGAGGAGGAGAGCTTTGCAGTGGGTCTTGAAAGGAGAGCAAGATGTGGGAAAGCGTGCAGGCAAAGGTTAGCTTAGCCAGGGCAGCAGGGAGGACCCAGGCCTCACTGCCTTGGGGACCAGGGCCTGTCGAGGTCTGGGAAGGAAAGGAGGACACGACACAGATCCTGTCCCCAGGAGCCAGGGTTGCTGGAGATGGAACTCAGAGCTTCTCTCTTACTAAGGAAGCACTTTGCCACTGAGCTGCATCCCAGGCCCCAGTCAATGACATTTTCTATCCTCTGAACTACATTTGTAAAAATGTTCAGTTCCTCTCTGTTTTGCCTGCAGCTGGAGGTAGAAGGAGAAAGCCAGGAGGCTGAGGGCAAAGGAGGCTATCGAGGAAGGTGTTCAGATGGAATAGGAAAAAGGACTTTTTCTTTATCCTGTGAAATTCTGCAGCGACAGAGGCAAAGTGAATATCCTTTTTAAAAATGTTAATGATAACAAAAGGAAAACTTGTCACTGACCACCAGGTAATGAAGCATGCAAATGCCTTGATCTTTTGCCCTTGGCTGTGACTCCAGCTTCAATACTACCACAGGGATGGCCTGCAGCAGTACCAGTCTGTCCCCTGCTCAGAATGTGCTCCCTGTGCCTGGCTGACCCTGCAGGAGCCACCTGTGGGGCATCTGTGGTCCTCACACCTGGCTGCAGGTATTTGTGTGTAAGGAGAGGCTAGGCTCCTTGCCAGAGGACCCTTGTAAAGCCTCACTCACCCTGGGGTCCGCCGAGTGAAGGCTGCGGAAATGGATCCCAGGTGAGGGTTTACTGAGGCTCTTGGGGGGCCTGCCCAGAGGAATGAGCTTGCAGTCTTAGCCCATGCACCTGCTCCCGCCTCTGGACAAGTCACCCTTTCCAACACACCTCTCATTTTTACTACTTTTCTCCTTGTTTAACATCCCTTCCTCCGGCCAGCAAGGTTCTACTCCTCCTTCTAGGCTAAGCTCAATGTATTCTCCCTGCCTCTTCCCTTCTGTGTGCCTCAGACAAATCAGTCCTCCGTTCATATCGTCTCTAGAGCTCAATTACCACATGTACTTTTCAAAAGTCCGCTAAAGTCAGCATGAAGCCTGAGCAGGGCCAGCGGATGGGGTGTCAGGCACTGCAGAGGCTGTAGCACCTTCTGATTCAGGCCATTTGTGGCCCAGGAGGTTTGACCCTGACTGTTCTGAAAAAAGGGGTGCTTCCTGTTCCATGGGCTCCCTAGCCCCAGGAGGGGCTGTTGAGTTGTGTGTCCTATCCTTGCACTCCACTGTGACCCTTGGAGCAGGTCACTAAACCTGTGTCCATTCGTCCACTTTCACAGCCCCCAAACAGGGCTCTGTTGGCCACAGGATAGGACTTTGGTCAAGTCAAGGACAGAGGGAGCTTTTTGGTTCCACACAAAGCTAGTGGAGACTCAGGTGAAATGGTGGCGAGGGTGAGGCAGGTGCATCCTCACAGCAGACAGGTGGGGACCTCACCTCTCCAGGCCTCCATCCTCTAGGTTTCGGAATTCTGAGTTGGTCCAGGTAGAGAATTTCTCCAGGATATAGGCAGCCAGGCCCACGGGAGAGTCGTTCAGAGCACAGCCTGTGGAAAAGAGCAAGGAAGGGACTCATGTCTGGTACAGGCAGGGGCCCTAAGGACCAAGGTGTGGTGCTGACACCGCAGAGAGGTGCCAGGGGCAGGGAGCCCAGGCTCCATCACAGCCCTGCCCTGCACCCCACTCTGTTTCTCCGGCCTCAGCAGCCTCACTGTGGATTGGGATAATTCCTTCCACGACCTCACAGGATTCACATAGTGTATGGAGCACTTTCTGCCAATAGGGAGGGGGGTGCTCTGAACCTGGGAGTAGTGAAGTCCAAGTGAGAAAAATTAATACATGCAGACACAGACAGACATACACACACAGACACAGACACATTTTTTTTTTCTTTTTGTGGTGCTGGGGCTAGAACCCAGTGCTTCACAGGTGCTTGGCAAATGCTCTACCCCTTGAGCTAAGTCCCCAGCCTCCAGGTGCTGTATGACTGAGTCACCCCCCCAGCCCAGAATGCTGTTTTGTTTTTTATTATAAAATGGGTTTTTTGGCCTATATGTCCTAACATTGTAAAATGATAAACCACCTAGAAGTCCAAAATAGGGTTAACAGTTGCAAATAGTGACATGTCCACAGCTAAAATACTGTGCATCCAGAAAATGCCTGGAGGCTGGAGGTTTACTCAGTGGTGGATTCAGGCTTTGCACACATACACAAGGCCCTGGGTTCCATGCCCAGCACTAAAAATAGTGTTTGGGACATCAGCATAGATGACAATGGTATTGAGTGAAAGTCACCAGAGCCCAGAGAGCACACACTGCAAGGTTACAGTCACAGGAACTGGGAAACAGAGAGCATCTCGCACTGAGGGTGGTCACCTGTGATGTGACAGAGCCTGCATGTGACCCCCGGTGTGCCTGGGGGGAGGGGCCCTGCTGCACACATGGCACTTTCCACCTTAGTGAACTCTTGTGAAGGTGAGGGCAGCTGGAGGAAGGAGGACTTACAGGCTTCCTCCTCTGTGTGCATTTTGCATTGCTCGGTGCTTTCTACAATGAACACTGGCCTCACAGCCAGAGGAAAGCCTGGTTTATGAAGTGCTGTCATGTCGTGACTGCTTCCCGGGTGCACATGACATTCTGGGATGCTGTGAAAGGCTTGGAAATGGCAAAATGATGCCTGATGTCCTCCGGGGGTCTCTGTCCTTTAGGGTGCCCCTCCCCTTGTCCCTGAGCCCGTGTACAGCCCTGTAAGTTACAGAACCCTGAGAGCCATACAAATGATTCCCGAGCACAGAGAGGCAAACCAGTTTTGTCCAGTGGACATTTAATTATTGCTCTGTGGGTCTTGATGGATTTGCATCCATTAGGAGACTAACTTGCACTCCTCACTGCCTTTGAACCATCGTTTGCTTTGACGTTTTATGGGCTTCTTTTGTATGAATGAGTTAAATAACCAGGGGACGTGCTCTTTTCCTATTTGTATGAGAATCATGATTTTTAGCTTTTGGAAAATCATCCTTCCATAGGACCCTGGTGGCAGAAATGGTTACAGGCTCTCCTCTGGTTGTTAGGGGAGCCTCCTCCATGCCCTGGGGTGCCCTCTGCCATTTACCCAGAGTCCCGGAGCTGCCAAGCCCCCAGGCTTCCTCCCACCTTCTCCCTCCTGCAGTTTAGGTTCAGGGGTTGGGTTCAGGGATCAAAGCCACTGTGAACACTGAATCCGATAAACAGAGCTGTTTGGATCAGGCTGGGATGTGATGACCGTGTGTCAACTTACTTCCATAGGGAAATGCAGTTTAAGGGTCCAAAGTGCTCTAGCAACTCAAGAGGGGTTTGCATACTATGAATGGTGCTCTTGGGGGCAGTGGGGTTACCCCTGGGGTCCCCATGCCATTGTACTCACCCACAGTGTCTGGCTTGGTGGCCTGGATGTGGAAATAGCCACTCTCCCTCATGAGGCTGTAGAATATCTTCTCCTTGAAGGGGTACAACAGCTCCATGTCCCTTTCTGTGTAGCCAAAGAACTGCGCAAAACGCCGTCCAAGGAGAGGGGTCAAGGTGTGGATGCTTCTTAAAATGAAAGCCATGTTCAAGTGAAGGCCTTTCACGTGGCTGAGGACAGAGAAATGGGCTCAGGAGCTGGGCTGATACCAAGGAAAGGGGACAAGAGAGACAGAGGAGGAGAGCCAGGCCATAGGGCCAAGGAGGACCTGTCCTTAGGGTGTCCATATGAGGAGGAGAGGGATCGGGGAAGAAAATGCAGTTTCCAGAGAGTTCTGCTCAGGGCAACTCCACAGCTTGCCTGCTGGAAAGGTCTAATCCTAACCTTCACTTCTCACCAGAGGGCTCTGCCTGGGCACCTGGCCCAGACCTACCAATCCTGAGTTACCACAGGGGGAGAATCTGGGTCAAGGTGCCCTGTGTAACCCTCCTTCCTCTCCCCTGATACAAGCATCCCTGGCCTGGTGGTGCTGGCAAAAGGGAGCCCCAACGCTTGGGTGCTGTGCCCAGGAGGGCCTGTCATGAACAACCTGTGTAGATGCCACTTGCAGAAAGATCCTCTTAGAAGGTGGGTGCATGACCACACGCCCAGATGAGACTTACCCAGGTACCAGCTGGGCCATGTTGGTGCAGACCAGAGACCCCCAGTCCCCACCTTGGATGTAGAATTTTTGGAAGCCCAAGCGCAGCATCAGTTTGTAGAAGATCCTGGCGGTGGCCACCGAATTGAAGCCTGGTTGTGAAGGCAACAGACAATAGAGTCACAGGGAGGACACTTGGCTCCTCTTGTTGTGGAGAAGCTCTCCAGACCCCCCCTCCACCAGGCTAGGGGACAGCAGCTCACAGGAGGTGAGAAGGAGTCTTGAGGCCATGAGTAAGGTTCTCCATCTACAGAGGGCTTGGTGCAGTGCCAGCCCCAGGGCAGCACAGCAGGTGACCAGCTGCTGCTCTGCTGACCAGGATGGGCATGGGAGGGACTCAGCAAGACCCTGTGGGGTTGGGGTGTCTAGGGCCCTGCTGCACAGGAGTGTGGTCAGCCCAGATGTAGAGCTTCCCCTTTTTGTGAGTCCAGGCCCTGAGCACCCTAGACAGTGCTGCCATAGATCTGTCCAGCCCTCACCCAGCATCACTGGTGCACTGATCTTTTATTGTACGAGTTGCCTCTCGGCTTCTCCTCATCATCCCAAGCGGTTCACATCCCCCAAGGGGAGCCTGATGGACCTTCTGGACCACTCTGAGCATGGACCAGGTGAATACACACTCCCCCCGGCCCTATACCTTTCTTGCTGGATGCCTGTGAGAAGCTGTAGCCAGGAATGGAGGGGCAGATGACTTCGAAAATGTGCTCATCGCTCAGGCCGTGGCTCTTGGGGTCAGTCAGCAGTGGGATGATCTTGTAAAACTCGTAGAAGGACCCGGGCCAGCCGTGCACCATCAGCAAAGGCTTAGGGGTGCGGCCTGAGGGCAGCTGGGGGGGCTTCACATGGATGAAGTGGATGTCCAGACCTGGGGACAGAGCACAGTCAGGGGAAGGGACAGGCCTTGTGGCTGGAGAGGCTGGCGTCCTGAGTGCATCTGGTCACCCTATGCACCCTCTCTGGTGGACAGTGGGTACTGTGCCCTTGGTGTCCTCAGGCACTGGTGGCGGTCATCACAGCCAGCATGCTCCAGCTCTGTGATGTCCTTGTTCAGACTGTACAGCCACGCTGCAATGGTGATACTGCTGTCACCTCCTAGTGACATTAGAACATGCACTTCAGGTCTGAGTGTGCACTCCTGGGTCCCCAGGGCATAGGACAGAGCCTGGCTACAGCAGCTCCATAAACACTTGTTCGCTAATTGAAAAGCAGGGGGAAGGGGAAGCACATATACCCACAACAGAGGGTTAATCAAAGGGATTACTGTCTGCGGTGTAGTGGAGTACATTTAGTCCAGGAAAGCGAGCGTGCACACGTGTATTCACTTAACATAAACCAGCAAGGCCAGGTGATAAAAGCAAGTTCTAAGTCAGATCCATGGAACCCATCTTAAGTAGAAAGTTTGGAAATCTAAAACGCATTTAAAGACAGGGTGTAGCTTGGGTGCAGAGAGCTTGCCTAGCATGCATGAGGCCCTGGTTTCAATGCTCAGCACCTCAAAAAACTTTGCACGTAATCCACCCACCCTATCAAATGGCATAGCTTAGCCACCATGGTACACCGCAGAGTGTGGGGTTCTCCCTCTCGATTGTGGGGCTGTCTGGGAGTAGCAACTGTACCACTTATCACCAGTCTCGGAAAAGGTCCAGATCCAAAGTGTGGTTTCTACAGAGTGCCTATCGCTTCCCGCCATCATAAAGGAGCAAAGTCTTCAACTGAACCATCGTAAGTCGGGGACTGGCGGTACTGTGCGTGCATGAATATAAAGGTCTCAGAATGAACTCCCAAGTGCACAAGGTAACTGTCCCTGAGCAGGACAATCAAATGCTTCCTGTGCTTCCTAACTGTTCTACAATGGACATACATTAAGTGCATAACAGTTTTTACACACACAAATACATTGAAGTAAGAATGTATCATTATCCCATTATAAAAATAAACTTTTAAAATTTTCAAAATTACTGAGTCATGAAAATAGTGTTTGTTTCTTTTGTGGTGCTGGGGGTGGTGTGCGCTGAGCCCCAGTCTGCCCTGCAGTACTGGTAACCATGGGCTCTGTCAGCACAGTGGGTCTAGAGCATCAGTGGAACCCCACACCTGACCCGCTACGCCCCAGGCCTGGCACCCCGCCCTCACTCTGCTTCTGTGACCTGCCTCATTAGGTACCTCTCAGACATGAATCATGAGGTACTGTCCTCAGACTGGTCATGTTGCTTAGCATAATGTCCTCAAGGCTTATTGGAGATGTCACATTGTGTAGGGGTTTCTTCCTCCCTGAGGCCTGGGTAATATGGCATGTCCACATGTAATGGAGTCTTATTCAGATTTCCTGGTTTTAACCTAAGGTCTTTTTTCTGTCCCCGGACCCTGTACAGGACACCATGGAACATATAGTCATCACACCTTCTTAGGCTCCTCTTAGCTGTGACTATTCTGCTTTTAAAAAATACTTAGAGAACATAACTTCCTTTTAACAAAAACAGAACACTATAGCTGTTCTATTTTGGAACCTTACTTTTCTTTCACTTAAGAAGATACCCATGGTGTCCTTCTATGTTGCTAAATTTACTCCTATCCTAAAGTCTATTTTAGTAGGTAGTCTTATCTTTTTTTGGAACATGCTGCATGATGGGACATTATTTTTAAGTCATATTCTACCAATTCGTCAGTTTAAGAAGAAATCCACATCCCGGCTTGCATCCACACAGGCTCTCTGGAATTCTGCAGAAGGAAGCCAATGCTGTCTGGGCCGGGAGGCCTGGAGAGTGGACACTTCCTTTCCTCTGTGTGCCCTTCTGTTCCTTTACATTCTAAATATTTGCACTGTAGCATGAAGACATCTTCTCATTAACACTGCTGCTGAGCATGGACCCTGTGCTAAGCACACGCTCTGCACTGAGCCACACGCCAGCCCAAGGGGTTTGTTCAAGCTACACTGCGTGGCTGACCCTGTGGGCTTTGGTGAAGCAAATGCCACCCTGGGTTTCCCACAGGTGTGTAACACCCTCAGGATGCTCTATGGCAGGGCACTGGGTCAGAATGCAGCTGAGCTGTGCTCATGTAGCTGGGCGGTGGGTAGTGAGGGGAGGATGTGGGGGTGTCACAGGCAGCGGCTGGAGGGAAGGGAAAGGGACGGGCAATCTCCCCCACTGTGGACAGGGTGGGGTTGGACTTGCCCAGCGGCCTCTGAAGCCCTGAGAGTTGGTGCAATGGAAACAGGACTCCTCCCTGGAGGCCCAGGACATGGTGGGCCTGGAGGCTCACCAGATTGAGCAGGGAGGTAGCAGTAGCAGGGAGGCCAATGGACAAGTGGACAATACACTGGGTATGGATCAGACGTTGTGAGAAGCCAGGGGCATGGGAGCAGAGAGGGGACAGAAGGGGCTCTAAAAAGGCTTGCATGAGGGAGGAGGGTGGCAGGAAACAGTGAGGGAGGAGCCCTCTTGGACCAACCCCAGCCTGGAGGTCCAGCAAAGCAGAATGCTTTCTGAGGCTGGAGGCTGCTGACTGGTATTTGGTGGCAGGGCAGAGAACCATGAACCCAGGCCAGGGAAAAGACTGTCCTACAAAGCCCAGACAGGCTGCCAGGGTGAAGCTGTCCTCTTTGGGCCACTTGCACCTTGAGAGGCCTGTGCCGTAAACACTCAGGGACCTCTGAAGTCCAGAGGGGTCAGTGGAGTGAGGCTTTGGCCCCAAGCTTGCAGCCCCGGAAGGGAAGCAGCCCTTTGTGGGTGCTTGGCTGTCCTGTTCCCTCCTCCTTGGGCCACCTGTCCCACAAGCCTAGGAAACTCAGCAGCACCCCCTGCAGGACGTCCTCCTCACACTTCAAGGAGGAATGCAGGATTCCAAAGCTGCTGTGACCCCCTCTCCATAGCAGGCCCTCTACCTGTGTTGTAACTGCCTAGGAATTTTGGACCTGACAGCAGGAACCCACCTCTCTTACTGTACCCCCACTCCAGTGCAACACCTGGGGTCAGGGAGTGCCCTGTTGCTTGCTATCTGCTGGATGGACCCTTGGAGCTGGGGAAAGAGGGTCCAAGTGAAACTCCAGGAAGCCCAGGGTGCTAAGTGGTGCCCGTTGTACATTATGTATGACCACCTGTGTGTGACCGCAGAAGACACAGGAAAGGCCCAGCAGCACTCATGGTCAGTGCCAATGATGGTGGTGGTGGTGGTGGCTGAGGCCGAGGGATTGCTTGAGCCCAGGAGTTTGGGCCAGCCTGGGAAACATAGGGAGATAATGTCTCAAATAAAAGAGAAGACCAAGGTCTTGAATAGACAGTTGTGCAAATATCTAAAAATGGCCAATATGTACATGAACAGATGTTCAACGTCACTCATCGTGAGGGAAAGGAAAGTCCAAGCACCATGAACAAAAGGAAACAAAACAGAGAACACCGTGAGATGCCACTGTGTACACGTTAGGGTGGTTACCAATGGGGGAATCAACCAGGAATGGTGGTGCAACTCTACACTCCCAACACTCAGGGGCTCAGGCAGGAGTTTGTAAGATCCCTTCTCAGCAGAAAAAAGAGGGCCATGGTGGCACAACCTGTCATCCTTGCTTCAGTAGGAAGCTTAAAAAAGGACTCTGGTCCAGGCCAGCCTGGGAGAAAAACGAGGCCGTAGCACCAAAAACACACGATCAATAAGGGCTGGAAGTGTAGCTCAAGCGGTAGAGCACCTGCCTAGCAAGCAGAAAGTCCTGAGTTCAAACCCCAGTACTGCCAAAGCCAACCAAACAAAATTAACAGCAGAGCTCTGGTTTTCCTTAAGCATTTCCCTATTTGGTCTTAAGTCTGTCTGTGGTTAATAATGATTTTCATTAAGGAAATTAGGAACTCATCTCAAATGATCCTGGCGACATCTTCCCAAGCAAAATATGAGACACCTTCTCTTCCTGGTGAGGCCGTGTGCTGACCTGTGGTATGGCTGTACATGTAGTCCAGTGCTGCGGAGACTGGACAGGTGAGCACAGCCTTGTCCAGCAGAGCTGGACATCCTGCAGCCCACGCCTTCAAGAAGGGGCAGAGGTGACCAGGCATCCATGCCCTCGTCTTCCTCCTTAGCCTCCCCCACGGCAGCTTCCTCATTGGACTGGATTCTGCATTTCTCAGGCCTTAAAATTATTAATGTACTTCCTGTCTAGTTCTATACACCCATGGTTGTTGACATGTGGCATTATTTTTGCATTCTGGCAAGATGAAAGCTGATTACATCAGGTGACCTGCCATTGGGTCAAGGTTCCCACAGAGGTGTCTGCTCCTGGGACTCACAGCCCCAGGTGTTCTGGAAGCTTACCTTCGATCTTTGTCTTGAAGTGAGGGTACTTGTTGAGAATCTCCACCTGCTTCCTCCAGTCAAACTCATTCCGCCAGTAGGACAGGACTTTCTTCAGGTAGTTGGAGTTGAACCCGTAATGGAAGCGACTGTCCTCCAGAGGTGCGGTCCAGCGGAAGTTATCGATCCTCTGGTGTAGGTCCTGGAGTGAGGAGAGGACGGGTGACCAGAGCCCAAGAGAGAGCTTGTTTCCACAATGGAGAGCGCGGCCTGCAGGATAAGGTGCTGCACACCTTCACCATGGCAGCCAAACAAACCTTGTGACTGTGCCCAGGTTGTGCCTGTTCTTCACTGCAGAACCTCTCTCTCTCTCTCTCTCTCTCTGCAGCACTAGAGTTTGAACTCAGGGTTTCATGGGGCCTCAGTTGGGGAAGTTCACGTTCGCTCACTGAGTGGCCCATGTCCCCTTTCCCAGACATTCGTCCCGAGTGCTTTGGCCAACCCCAAGCACATTTGGGAAATCTTAGACTTTTTTAGAGTCCTGTAGAATCCTCTACAGGAATAACCCTCAGAGCTCAGCTTCCACCATCAATACCGAAGCCCTAGAAGTCCTCACACGGGGGCCTCAGCCTGCTGTCTCTTGGGCTTAGGCCAGCTTCTATTTTGAAATCCCTTCCTCCTCTCAACTCTTGTGATCCTTTACCACTCGCTCTTCTGATCTCTGGGTTAATTGCCTTCGTGCGTGACCCTTCCTCACCTCAGCATGGTAGCTCTCTGAGGGAAGGGACTTGTCTTCTCTCAAGACTCAGAAGACTGCTGCACCCAGGAGGTGCACAGGCACCCCAGAGCAAAGGAAGAATGGGCAGGGCTGTGCCAGGTCAGGCCGCCCCTCTCCCCCCGCCAGCCCTGTTCAAGCCTCTCTCCTCCACGAGGCTCCTCCTCTATGCTCCACACCACTGGACACCTCCTTCCTGTCTCCATCTCTGTGTGGAGGAAGGGGCAGTGGCCTTTGAGTTAGACTTGAGCTCAAACCCTTTGGCTTGTAGTCTTGGACTCCTGTCCTCCAGACAAACTGGTGTGCCTCTCTGCACTTCAGTTCCCACTCTGTGAGCTCGCAGCACCAGACAACCCTGACAGGGAAAGAATGGGCCCAGGAGTAGCTAATGCACAGTAGGTGCTACAAAGCACTGGCCCTACCATATTTCCTAGGGCACCACCTCACTGCATGCAGGGCCTACACCTGGGCCCAGGGGCACCTGCTCTCTGTCTCGGGGGACAGGCAGGGGTGGACGCAGTTGCTTTCTGTGACCTGTGGTGCACACAGGGGTGCAGCTGGCAGCCCCCTCCTCCTGGGCACTGCTGGGCTTTGGCAATGGGAAGGTACAGGTGGGTTGGGGTGAGGGAGCTGCACCCACCCTGTGGGAGAAGAGCAGACAGGAGGAAGCACCCAAGAAGGCTCTCTTCCTAAGCCCCCTGCCTCCACCTGAGCCAGCTCCAGCATGGTTGGGGACCACAGCAGGACGCACCCACCTGCCTCTGCAGCCCACCTGGGAAAAGGGGTCTTACCTTGATCTCCTCATCTGACGTTTCCACCTTGAAGGGGCGGATGCTCTCGTCCTCCCTGGCTGTGGGCTTTGCCCCGGGCCCCACCACCCATCTTCAAGTGCCAAAGTTTCCTCCTTGTTCCAGGAGATATACCGGTAGATGAGAAAGCCCAGCACTGAGGCGAGGAGAATTTCCAGAAACATGATTCCTGCAACGAGAAGGAAAAGCTATCAACAAGAGATCACCAGCCAGGACTTGGTGTTTCCTACAGGCTACTCCCAGATCCCTCCCCACCCGATACCTGGCTTCATTCATATTTGTTCTGTGAAAGAAATGTGAAAGTTGCCAGAATCAAAATGGAGTTGCTTGTGCCAGCCTGATCAGAAAACCTACAGAAAGCCTGAAGCCCAGTTTATGAAAAAAGGGTTCTTTTGCACAACTCATGATAACTGCCATGAGACTGCCAAAGCCACAAGCCTGCCCAGAGGCCACAGGACCTTCTACAAAAGTGCTTCTACAGACACCTGAATGGACACTGTCCCTTCAACTGCAGACTGAGGCCTCTTTCCGTATAAATCCGTTGTCCTAGGATTATTGTGTCAAAACATCTGATGTCATGTTTCTTTGTTAGTGAATTTGCTTTTGGTGCTGGGAACACAACCCAGGGCTTCTACATGCAAGGGAAGACTCCACACTGAGCCACCCCCAGTCCACACTCCTTATTTCTGCCTTTAAGAATCTCTCCTTTCCTCAGTCTCTTTGAATACACCATGGTTTACTATGGCATGTTCTCTGCTACTTCTAAATAAATATCAGTATTCTTTGGAAAATCTCTGGTTTGTTTATTGTTTGAGACAGGGAATGGCTATGTTGTCTAGGCTGGTTTAGAATTCCTGGACTCAATCAATCCTCCTGTCTCAGCCTCCCTGGCACCTGCGACTATAGGCATGTGTCACCATGTCTGGCTGATTGCTTTGTCATTTAGGTGGATAGTCCTGTTATAAATTATATATATATAACAGAAAAATTGGAAAACAATAGAGAGAGAAAATCATCCATATCCCACTAAGCTATGAACATTGTAACCACAGTGGGAACACACAAGTGTGGTCAGCTCTTGCCCAGCCTGGGAGGCTGCTGGAGGCTGCACTTCTGAGGCCTGGTGCTTCTGGGCATTCTAGTATCTCTGTTCAGGTTTCTCTCCATGCCTCTTGCCTCTCTTGCTGGACAGCCAATGGCTCTTCTGAGTTTGGAGGCAGAGGGATGGGGTATGAGGCTTGGCTTGTGTGGCTTGGCCCCTTGCTCTCTCTTTGAGAGGGGGCTGTCCTCATGGTGGACAAAGGCTAGGAAGGAGGTCAGAAGGGCTGGGAAATTAAGTTAGGTGGGGTGGGGATATGGTAGTGTGGCCAACTGTGGCCACACATTTTACCTACCTGCATGTTTAACAGCTTTATTGAAATTTAATTCATACTATCAATACAATAGCATTTATGTTATTATAATTTGCCCACTCCAAGTGGGCTTGAGTGTATTCACAGGTATGTGCAAACCAAAACAAAGCCAAATTTAGGACATTCCATCACCACAAAGAGGTGCACACTCCTCCGTCACCCCACCCTCCCTGGGGAACAACCAACCCACTTGGCATGGCTACAGACTTGTTCCATTTCATGTAAACTCAGCTGTGCTCTAATCCCCTTTGTCTGACTCAGTGCCTTTTTTTCTCAGAAGGGGAAGAAAGAACTTGGTCTGTTCTGACCAGTACCAGGAAGACACCAGCCCAGCACTGGGCTGGCTCCCTGTCTCCCATCTCCCCAGGAAAGCAGCTCACAGCACTTTCAGGAATGCCATCCTCAGCCCGAGGCCCAAGGCAGGAGGAGACTGTGCTGGGAAACACCACTGTGCGCTCTGTTTGCTACGTTAGATGTTCAGCATCTGGCTGGGCGTTTGCAGAGGCTCCAGGCCTGCTCCTACCAAGAGCTGCCCTTTAAGCTGAGAACTGGGCCACAGGAGCCAATCCAGAGATACTGGTCCATGAGAGCCGGAGCTTCTGCAGAGACTCAGCCAGGCTTGGGTCACCTGCCTCCTGCTGCCCAGTGGGAATCTAACGTGGAAACTGGTTGTTTGGGGCAGGGAACCCCACTTCCATCCTCCAACCTGGAGCCACCTCTGATCCTTCTTTCCCACCCATTCATCTATCACCAGGCACAGGCACTATGCAGCCCTCCATGCCCAACCTCAACCTGACCAGAGACCTCATCACCCCAAATTTCAACTGCGACGGCACCCCAAACCTCACCAGTCAGAGGCACCGGCGCACTTCTTAGAACCCCTGCAGCCATCTCTGGAAGCGTACCCTGGGGACCCAGACTTCAACTTCAACTGCCTCCCTCTGAATGGCTCAGGTCTCAGTGACTTGCTCACCCCACACACAGATGTGGATGGTAGTGTTGGCATGCATTCTACCACCAGCCTCCACGGGCCAGGCTTTCAACTTTCAATCCCAGGCTCCACCAGTGTCTGTCCCCAGGTTCCTTGAGTGTGACAGCTGATCAGACAGGCGTCTGGGACCAGCATTCCTTCCATTAAAGAAGGCCAGAAAGCTGGGCGCCAGTGGTTCCTGTCTGTAACACAGCTACTCCCAAGGCAGAGATCAGGAAATAATTCCAAAATCCCATCTCCAAAATCCCCAGCACAAAAGAGGGATGGTGGAGTGTACAAGTGGTAGAGTGCCTGCCTGGCAAGCATGAGACCCTGAATTCAAATCCCAGTATTTCCACACACACCCCTAAAACAAAACAAGGCCAGGATTGGCTGGAGATGAGCTCTGGTTCTGAAGAACTCAGAAAACGTACACAGGCTTCTTGCGTTTCCAGAGAGACCCTGGGAGATCCTGTGCTTTGAGAAGCTGGAGAAGCTGCAGCATCTGTGGCGTTGAAGGGAGGACAAGCTGGGACTGTGGGCGCAGGGGCGCAGGGGGACAGGTGGAGGGCAGAGCTGCCCCAGCCGCTGGGCAGATGTGTGCAGCTCACTGGCCCTGGCCCAACCCATTATAAACCCATTTCCAGAAGGCAACACAGTCTTGGTCCTTGTCCCAAGCTCTAGTGCTGAGAACCACAGGCGCACAGAGAAGTGCCGTGACAAAGTTTGTAGCAGTGGTGGTGCAGCACTGCAAGCAGGTAAGACGAAGTTTGCATGTGGCTAGCAAGGCAGCTGCAAGCACAGTGAACACTGAGCCAGGGTCACCTCCCAGGTGACTTGACACTCAGCCTTCCTTACCTAACTTGAGCAGGAAGAGCCCAAGAGCACTGCTGCCAAGCCCTCCTAGGCCATAAATGCCCGGCTTTCCCTTTTCTGCTTCCTCTGTCCACCGGGCTCCAAGTCCTCACCCTTGGGTCTCCTCTCTGACAGCAGAGCTGTGCAGCTCCACACACAGTGACACTTTAGAGCCTGTGGGAGAGGCGGGGCAGCCGCAGGAGTGCGTCCCGCCCACCCGAGGCCCCTGCCTACACTTGCACTGTCGTGATGACTCAGCTGATCTGGTATGTACACAGTGTGGTCATCGGCCCTGGACTTGGAACCAGGCTGACCCCAGACAGACTCCTGAAACATCAGCGCCTGAGACCCACCTGAACAAAGGGAGGGCATCCGGGCAAAGGGCTATGATGTGCCTGGGGAAACGGCAGTGGTTCCCCTGTGTGGCTTCAGTTGATGGTCATCTGCGGTCTGCAAGTGTTCAATGGAAGATTTCAGAAATAATTGTTTCCAACTGATTGTGCGAATGGAGTTAGCACGATGAACTCTTCCTTATCCTGATCCATCCTCTACCCCAGGTTGGAAATCACTCTTCATCCAACATAGTCACACTGTATACACTAGGCACTGTCCAGGTATGCTTACTGTACGCACTAGGCTTTGTCTGCGTGTTCTCTTTGAATATACTAGGCATTGTCCACATAGTCACACTGTATACACTATGCATTGTCCACATGCCCTCATTGTATATACCAGGCCATCTCCACATATCCACGCTGTGTACACTAGGCACTGTCCAGTTACGCTTACTGTATACACTAGGCATTGTCCAGGCATTCGGCACCTCTCTCAGTTATCGGATGGACTGTCACAGCATCCCAGTGCTCATGTTCAAGTGACTCTTAGTTCATGTAATCATGGTCCCAAAGCACAAGAGCAGTGATGCTGGCAATTTCTTTACAGTATAGTGTTACAAACAGTTGTATTGCTATAGTTGTTACTCTCTCGCTGTGCTGAATTATAAACTAAACTTCATCATAAGTATGTATAGGAAAAACAGTATCTTAATAGGGTCAGTACCATCTCTAGCTAAGGCATCCATGGGTGTCATGGAACATGCACCCCTCCAGCAGGGGGACTATTGTACATCTAGGCCAGAGGGCAAAGTCACAGATTGAAAGGGAAATAGAAAACCTCTATCTCACTGGCAGAATGGCTTAAGTGGTAAAAGCTCTATCTCTTGCATTCTAGTTAAGATAACAAGAATATTAGTACTTTGCTCAAAGTGGGTTTTACTGCAGTTCCTTTCCCGCTGAGTAACCTCTGCCCTTTCTTTAACAGCAGGTATTAAATACACACAAAGAAAGGTGTTCCAGATTAGCCCAGAGTAGCCTTGACCTGGTGGTGGTAGTGGTGGAGGGTAGTGGAGGAGTGTGACAATCCATGAGACAGGCAAACTCACCAAGGAGGCACAAGTCATAGAGGACCCCAACAGCTCAGGAAGGAAGAGCAAGAATTGAATGGGACTGCATCAAATTAAAAAGCTTCTGCACAGCAAAGGAAATAATCAACAGAGTGAAGACAGCTCACAGAATGGGAGAAAATCCTTACCAGCTATTAACCCGACAGGACTAATACACAAAATATATAAAGAAATGTTAAAAGCTGACAACAAAAGAACAAGTAATCCAGTCAATAACTAGGCAAATGACTGAACAGACACTTTCTCAAAAGAAGTACAAAGAGCCCATAAATATATGAAAAACTGTTCCACGTTTTAGCCATGAGGGAAATGCAAAGCAGAACAGCACTGAGATTCCATCTCACCCCATTGAGAATGGCAATCATCAAGAAAACAGAAAAACAAATGCTGGTGAGGATGAGGGGAAAGGAACTCTACACTGCTGGTGGGACTGTAAATTAGTACTGCCAGGAAGGAAAACAGTATGAGGT